TCCACCAGCATTACAGTTTTTCGCACTTTATCAATAAAATTCTTAATTCCTTGATTTGAAGGCGCCTCATTTCTTCCAAACTTCGCACGCAATTTTCGCGCCATCTCGGCAACCACAGAGTCACACTCAAAATAAGTTTTGAATATTTCAAAACGTTGCATATTCGGTTAGCGGAAGGATAAAACTAAATCACTGTCAACAATTAATGACAGTTAAATTGTCAACTTCATTAATAACACGCAGTTTAAAATTCAACATATTCATGGCCCACCCGTTATTTTTATTTGATTTCATTATATTTTGCATTAATTTCAAACTTGAAATAAAATTACATTTATATTATATTTTAATTTTTTTGTTACAGTAAATTAATATTATATATAAATTGTCTAATTTACCATAGACATACTCAGACAAATATGCACTTACACCATTTAAATAATTAAATATTTATAAAACAAACCTATCAAAAATGTTTTCTGAAACAAAATCAGCATGTATAGTGCTCAAGACCTTTATAAGATGTAAAAATAATTTTAAAATTCGGAAATAAATCTCAAAAACCTCCCTACGAATTATTAAGACCATCTCTGAACCCCAAAGGTGAAAACAAATACTTGGAGATTTGAAATAAAGCCTGTCGTTGCTGAGATTCGAACCCATGCATCTTTGTTCTGTACATAAATGCCCTACCTCTAGACCATCACTACTATGGTCTAGAGCCGTTTTAGGCTTGTTTTCAAATATTCAAATACATCTACTGCATCGATGTATATGAAAAATGCATTGATGCATACTAGGCTCATATCTTCGTCTGCGTAATTTAAGTTTTCAATGTACGTTAAGCGCCCGTAAACCTGAGTATAAAAATTGAGAATTTAATGTCGTAGATCGCAAATCGAAAATCCGAAAGGTCAGAATTTTCTGAAATAAGTAGTAGAAGACCATCTACCTTTATAAGAGTTTTATGGCTTGGAGTGGCAAATAAATTTGAAAAAATAAAAAGCTGAAGCGTCGTTCTTTTAGTGTCTTACTATTAAGGCGAATTTGAGTATAGATAACATTTGCCATATTCTTATCAAGCCCACTAGTTAGGTTGGAGAGCATTTCTTCTTCAGATAATTTTTTATTGATTTATTTGTGCACCACTTGTAGTTTTTCAAATTCTTATTCATCCTTGTGATAAATAAATCTAGATTTCGAGCTTAAATTAACCTTAAACATGTTTGGACCCTTGAAATTTTGGGGTACATTTTTCTTGTTTGATGTCAATGGCATTGAATCAATTTTAGATGATAATAATAATAATAATAATAGTTTATTATTTATCATATAAAACAAATGTAGAGTACAAAATTTTATAACAATTAATGATGATAAATAAAAGGTTATAGTTAGGTCTGCAGACCAATTCTTCCACTATAACCTACAAATTCAAAATTAAATATAATTATATTCCTATATCCATGTCCTAATGTAATTAAAGAGAAAGAGAAAAAGTAAATATAATAAATAAATAAATAAAAGTGACAAATACTAGACATTAAGTACCTACCTAGTGCATTATATTTATATACAACTGAAAGGGTAATTATATTGCATAGATTTTTTAATATAAAAAAAATTATATTTTAAAAATATTTGCAGATTTGATGTTAAAGAACCTACGTTTAAATGTCCTATAAAAATATACATTTTTAATTAGCTATTAATTAAAAATTAGGCGAAAATTCATTTATTTTACAGTGTAAATTAAATCTAATCTAATAAATAGTACAGAAAATTAATTTCTTTAATCAAAATTTTCAGAAGTATAAATTATAATCTTCGCATTAATTGTTTTTTGTACTTCTTAGGTTTTTTGGACTATAGCGATAGCACTTGCTTCTGTTTATTTTCGGCTTGGGCTGGGTTCTTTCCACCACGGTAGACTTCTGACTATTCTGCTTCATAAATTGATCTTCAGTATCTACCTCGTTATCTTCGCTATCAGAACTTAGAGTTTCGGACGTACTTTCAAGATACTTTAGTTGTTCAGTTGAAAATGCAGTGTCATTAACATATAGAGTAAATCCTTTAATACTGGCATTAAAATTTTGTGATCTCGCTGCTTTTAAATGGGTTCTCAAAATTTTTTGTTCCTCCCTGTCTTCCTTGCTTAGGTCGTTAGCTATTGAAAAACCTTTATCTCTAAATTGTTTTAACTTTTCTTTATCATGAAAAAGTGTTAATTTCGTAAGAAATGATGCAAATTCTAATAAAATTGGTGATTTTGGCACTTTACCCAATTTGTAACAATTATTTAGGCTCTAAGCTCACAGATATCAGCGATGTACAGGGTATTTTGGAGGGCCAACATTTTCTTTACAATAAGAATAAACATTAACAACTGAAAACAAAAGGAAAATAAAATAACCCATTATTATTTTAGCAATGAATCAAAAACAAGTAAATATTACTATTGGCGCAAAACAGTGTAAAGAAATGTATTTTTCTTAGACGCTAGTTGCTAATTTTGTGGTTACCCTTAAAATGACTGCATGATATTCAATATGATGTATAAATTGCATCACTACCAATATCTGTGAGTGCTTTATAGTTTGTTGCTGAAATCTATCTTTCAATCTTTTGAAAAGATGCTTAAATTTGGAAGGTAGTGAAAATATAAATAGGTGAATCAAAATCCAAGGCACCTTCAAGAGCTATTAAATTCTTGAAGGTAAAAGTTTTCATGAGCTCACATTTGACTCTTACAACTGTTATTTCGATACGAGCGCCATCCCGTTAATTGGAGTGGTACTAAATTACCTTCAAGTTTGAAGGTGTATACAGTTGCGCACTCAGGAGAGGCGGGGGGAATCAAGATAACTTGATATAAATCTAAATTAAAATAATTACATTTTATTGTATACAGTTTTAAGTTTTTAATAAATGTCTTTTTCATTTTACGTTGTACAAAATGTTATACCAATAATCTTAACACTAACAATGCCCAAATAAAATACCTGGGTGTGTTGTTAGATGTACACAAAAAAAAGCAAAAATTTTAGGGACTCTCTTCTGGGGTGTTTAATACATAATCTTTATTAAATCTTTGGAAAAAGTAGTAATATGATTCCTAGGGTAACAGTATACCACAGAATCGTGAAGCCAGCCCCCTAAATAATACGAATTTTCTCGAATAATTGCAAACCCTATATATCATATTATGCAAAAACATTTTTGAGCGTGTGTATTAAATATTCAGCATGATATATTGGTACTTAACATAAAACATACGCTTAAAAAATTAAATATGATCATAAAATTGGTTTTTTATTACTTTATGAATGAAATCGATCTTTTTTATATATTTATATCGAATTTCTTAATACTATCCAGTCGATTATTTTTGAATAGCATGGTTGAACTTATGACATTTCTTGGCTTTGAATCATTTTTCTTCGTCATAAAATGCGAAATAAATTGTGTTACTTTAGTGAATTGAGAAAAATCTACTTGAATTTTATTGATAATTTAGGTTTAATTTCATACATTTATAACGATTATTTTTTTCATCTGTTAAATTAGTAAAATTTTGTGATTTTAGCTAATAAGAGTCATTAAACCGTTTCTTCGTTTATGTTTTTTGATAAAACTATGTTTACCTTTTGAACTGACAACTATATATAATTTAAAAACTTATTAAACTAAAATGTACCTCAAATCCTCGCTCAAATCTATTTTAATACCTACCTAAATTTCAAAATTATTGATAATTCTATTGCACAAAATTAAAATCGGTAATATTTATGGGTAAAACTAACCAACTTGTTTTTGTTTATGTTAAATCACTTATAACGCACATATTAACACTCAATTTATAACCAATAAACATTTTTTGAATACCTTAATAATTCTAAATTAACTAGAATTAAACAGATCCACAGAAATCACAATAAGAATTAAGAATTTTAAAATTTGGCAAATGTCAAATAATCAACTTTATGTCGCCGCGGTTATGCGCATGATCGATTCTTACAACTGTTGATGTAATGCGTCGTTGCATATCCATTTTTTTTAGACTATTAAGGGAAATTGTTTTACTATAAAAGAAACAAATTTATGGAATGTTTAATAAACACTTTTAGATTATTACCTACTCGAAATATGTTTTTCATAAAAAATTATTCAAAAAATAATCTTTTCAAATACTTCTCGTCCTTTCAAATTTTATTTATTAAATTTTGAGTTTCCATACTCAAACGTCTTTATTTTAGACAAAACCACTCAAACCGACGTTTTCGCGGAAATTAAAAATTTAATCAATAAAATTTAGAGGACTCGTGGTATTACCTTTGATTATCCCTTTATTTGATTACACAATGTATTAAAGTAACATTTAAAGGATTGTATTGTAGTAAAATTATTGATTTCTTTATAATTATTTCCGAAAAATCTTTTATTGGGATTGAAAATGCTTTATAAGTGCCTTATATTAAACTACAAACAAGGACGCAAGTCCCGCCTATAATTAAAACCATATCTATTTATTTATTTATTTATTTATTTATTTATTTATTTATTTATTTATTTATTTATTTATTTATTTATTTATTTATTTATTTATTTATTTATTTATCAACGGTTCGGCAAATATTGCCTAATTATAGAGATGTGTCTCTTAGCGATATTGTCGACTACATTAAATTTCTAGGCTGACTGACTAGTGTTTAAGAAAGGAGGATGCACAATGGGTATTTTGAGACCTAAGTAGTGTGAGGGAAACCCATGCTTATAATTACAGAAGTTGAAATAAGGCAGTTAATGCCAGACGATCATCCATCCCATTTTTATTAAAATAATGTATGAAATTGCTCTAGAATTTTAAAATAATATTATCTTCTATTATTTATTGTCTTAATAGACGTCAGTTCCAAACGGTGTTACTAAAAATGTAAATTTAAATTAAATTAATCCTAACCCTATCAATTTGATTAACCGATTTGTTTCTCTTTCAGACATACTCCGGCCTTTTCTGTGTCGTGGTGAATCCCTACAAGAAACTTCCAATTTACACAGAAAAAATTATGGAGAGGTATAAAGGCATAAAACGGCACGAGGTACCCCCGCATGTGTTCGCCATTACAGATACAGCTTATCGGTCGATGCTTCAAGGTAATTTGCTAATTTTCCTATTTACTTATTTTTTTGCACAATTACGTACTGGCTTTTTAGTATTCGCTTCTCGATATCTTGATTGCAAAATTGCTGGAGAAATTGTCTGTTTGTGGAACGTTTTTAAACCAATTACAGTGCGGGAAATTATGCTTGTTTTTATTTACGTAATTTTTTACAATCAATATTAATATTTGATTAAAAATGTTGAAAAATGATTCATAACTCAACAGTTTATGGACGATCACAAAATTTGATTTTCGTTAATATTTCTGATTCGAAGCTAGCTTCTGAAAAGGTTATACTAAAATTGAATGAATATTATATATCCAAAATTATATAATTATTTTCTTAGTAATTCCGGACTGTAATGATAGGAGCGCTGAGTTCATAAATTTAATGTTTCACCTTTTAATGTTGATTTAATTATTTTAATAAAAAAAAATGAAAAAAGAAGTAAATAACAAATTAAAGGTTTACTCAAACTTACCAGATAGGAGGGAAGGGCAATCGTCTTACTTATGTCCTGGGGATGGAACTTTCCTTGGAAGTCGCGCAATGCGAGGTAAATAAAAGCCGTATTAACAGGTTCAGAAAATTTGCCGGTTCGGATCAATTTTAAACTGTATAGTCTACAATTTAACGCGATTGCATTCGTTTTCGTTCTGTCCCAGTTCGACAGACCTCCAAATCGGTAAAGGACAAAAAAAAAAGGATCCAAAGTATAGAATAGGGGGAAATGGAGGAATATGAATCAAGTAAACCTTTATCGTAATTAAATATAAAAATTATGAAATATTAATATTAACAAACGCAAAGCGGTCATAAACAAAGTATAAATAATATATGCCCAAATAAAAATAAATATATATGTTTATAAAAATAATAGAAAACAAAATATATAAATGTACAGGAACAGAACAATCTCATTTCTTCATAACAAAATGTTTATTCGTTTATTGGTCAAGTAAAAAATTAATGCTTGGACTTTCTTATATTTTTTACGGCATTATCATTAAAGATCTGTTGAACGTGACTTTCCTGAAATCGAAAATTGGTTTAACTCAAAATTAATGTAGAAAAAACGTTTTACTAACCACCTTTTTTGTAATAAACCATCAGCACCTTTTTTTAATAATTAAAATTTTAATAACAGTAATAACTCACTTTAGATTCGCCAAGTAACTAAACAAAAAATATTTAGGGATCTATCTAGATTGCCACATCTTAAGTGTAGTGAACATATTACGTTAATTTGTAAAAAAAACTATTATTTAAAATCAATCTTAGTAGTAGTCACTCCAATTGAAAAAATGCTGTTTTCGGATACAAAGAATTGAATTAACAAGAGATATATTAAGAGCGTTATCCATGACTAAAATTGACTTAAAACTAATTCCAAATTTCCAGGCCTATTTTTTAATATTTTTTTATGAAATTTGGCATGCATATTTATTTAGGGTGCTCCATTTAAAACGAACATTATTTTTTGAGCCCTTAATTTTAATTTTAATTGGTTCCTTTCGATCGATATATATTTCCCATTTAAATAACATATAAATCATGATTTTTTTAATTTAAATTAATATAGCTCCGTTTGATTTCATGGTATTCCATTGCGATTAGTCAGAATTTGTAGTATATTAGTGACTCTTTGAAAGTGCCCACTAACATTTTTTTTGTACTTGAACCCGTCTCATCGGTGTCGGCCTCGAAAGCCCAATTTTCTCAAAAATTGTTATATTTTCGTTCTTATCGACAAAACAGTTAAATTTATAAAAAAAATGTCACAAAACAATTTGTAGGAAATTAAATTTCCTACAAAAATACCCCTGCATGGATTTTCTAAGGTGCGTAGTCCAAAAGGTATAAACAGTATTAAAATCTAAAAAAATGAAATTTTAATTTTTATTGTACGATTTTTTAACTCTCCCTTTTTATCGAATCAATATACGCTTTTTTAACAAAATTAACTTTACATTTTGTCAAATGTCTCGAATACGGACCATTTTAAGAAAATTTTGTATAGAACAAAAATTATAGATAATAATATAAGAAGTAACTTTTATTTGAAGAATTTTTTCCCCAAACGTAAATAACAGATATATTCCATAAAATATAAAAATTACCACCTATAAAGTACACCCCCAGATGTTTCGACTCTGCCCAAAATCTAATCAGCTCATTGGACGCTGGAACAAAGCTTAAGTTTAAAATTTGCTGTTTTTCTGTGTATCGGTTCATGAGTTATGCGACACACACACAGACATCATCGCGAAAATAGTCAAAACGGATTCAGGGGACCTCAAAACGTAAAAATCCGTCGAAAACTCGAGGTCGAAAAAATCATGATTCCTATACTTTCCTTATATCTGTATACAGATAGGAAAGTAAAAATTATTATGCATCTCGAAAATTGTGGTTTTGTTTGCCGACCCGGATTTATGTCATTTAGGGGCTAGTCCTGATGGCCTGGATCTGGTAGGAACTAATAGTATAATTGAAATTAAATGCCCTGCTTCTGTTTCAAATTTAACATCACAAGAGGCAATGCGGCAAAAAATTATAAAGTATGTAATAATTGACGACAATAATAATATACATTTGAAACAAAATCACAACTATTTCTACCAGGTCCAGGGCCCCTCTGGGTTTTGTAATGGACTAAATTGAACGAGATGATAATTTATGCAAAGTAAACTCCAGTGTTTTTATATGAATTGTGTTCTGCTAGAAATAATCGACCCTCGTTTTATGAGGGGATTAGAAATACGAAACCCTCCTCGAAATGATGCTCAATAATAAGTAGTATGGATTGTAATAAATGTTTTTCATAAAAATTGTTTTTTTATATAGCAATACATTGTGAACAAGTAAGGTCCTGTTTAAAAAAATGTGTTCACTAAATATCCTTTATCTGACGACAATATCGTACATACCTGCGAATCTCTACATATAATCTACAATTATTGATTCTGTTTGCAATTAAATCAAAATATTTTTGAAATAAATCTATATAGGTATTTTATGTTTTTAGTGCATGCTATTATTGTATAATATTTTCTGAAACTTGCGGTCATGTTTTTACTTTATCATAAAAAAAAAATCAAGTCGATAGCTCAATTAGTTTTTAATCTACGGTGATGTAAATAATAGTAATATTTAATAATTGCTATTTTTTTCTGTTTTTTTGTTGTAAAAAATGTCTGACCTTCATAGGTACTGAAAAATGTCGTGAGTGGCCGTTTTATATACTACTTATTTATTATCCATAATACCTAAAGGGTCTGATTGGGTTCTGCACCAATTTTTAACATCTCTAGTAATAAGCGACATTCGTACTAAATTTTGCTCTACTAAAACGCGCACCCGAACTCAACTTGAATATCTCTCAAAGAAACAATCCTTCAAACATCGAGCGCGCTTCTTTGCCAAATTGGGCTGAAAGGTACTGCGTCGCATATTTGAAATCTGAGTTAGGAGCGTACTGGATAACGCTCTTAATCTAAAATGTCCTTTGTTTATTAAATGAGAACAATATCAGTGTAGAGAAAAAATCTGCTTTTTTTTTTTTTTTTTTTTTTTCATGATTTGTAACTGATTTTTAATTTATTTATTTATTTATTTCGCAAAATATTTTCATTAAGTGGCTGAATATCAAAAATCCAAGCAAAAAAAACTAAACTGAATTTGTAATTGCCAATATAGCTTTATCAAATGTTTGAAGGGATTTCTAATTTAAGCTAGTAATATTTACCTAAAATAAAATTTGATTATCCAATTTGATATTTTTTTTACAGAACGGGAAGATCAATCGATTTTGTGTACGGGAGAATCGGGTGCAGGAAAAACCGAAAATACGAAAAAAGTTATACAGTATTTGGCGTACGTCGCTGCTTCCAAGTCGCCCAAAGGAGCTGGAGCGGTAAGACATTTTTTTTTAATTCCATAAATTATACATTTTTTATAGCACCACTTTGTACATATAAAAGTTCTATAAACTTCAATAAGACATGTAACTTTTATAAATATGCATGAAACAAATGATTTTATCACCAACCGTCAATAAAAATCAAATATTTTATTTGCCGCTAATATTTATCAACATAGCCATGACCGTCTGACATAAATAGTCTGTAACTGAATTGTCATACTAAAATGTGATGTTATAATATCTCATTTTTTATTAATTATAATTATTTACGGTTTGCGATAAAAGTTTGTATGGACCACTTTAGCAAAGTGTCTTTTTCGAACTCGCCTGTTACTCGCCCCGCTCGGCTCATAATCTCAGGCTAGTTCGATAAAGAATCACTTTGCGGACTTGGTACGTAAAAAACTATTTTTACTACTTTACTGTTATTTATGTATAAATTTGTTTGACTGCAAATCGGTTGTAAGGAATATAACCAAACATATAAAAAGCAAAGTTGAATGAATTTATAAAGAATATTTACCGTCAAGACGCCTTTAAGGAGATATATCGTCAGGCAATACTAAGGTGGTGCGGGACGTGACAGCATTTGGGGCGTAGAAATGCAGGGAAGTAGGGCGGCTGGACGTTGAGCTTCGGGACATGAAATATTCAGGAGATAAGTCGTCTTGACGTAGAAAGGTAGGGCGGCGAGACGTTGATCGTTGGGACGTGACAGCGTTCGGGGGATAGGAGGCATTGTAGGATAGGCGTTGGTTAGGAAGAGCGTAGATTTAGGAAAGGTACTGAATACTGAATTTGAATTATAACTGAATTCGAAAGCTACTGAATTAGACTGGATTTAACATAATAATCTATTGAATTAGACTGGATGCCAAATAATAAATGAATGAATCTCGAGTTCCTCGGGTTCGGGTTTTTATACCCGTTTTAATGACTTTTTGTGACGTCAATTTGTGTAGCTCCGGTGGGAACGAATTTGGGTGGATAAAAAAAGGGGTGGTAGAATTATTATGTGCCTTGAAAAATTCTCGAAATTGTGTGTCAAAATATTGTCGAAATTAGTCTTAAAATTCGAAACTGACTTAAGATAAGCGTCTTAACTGTTTTAATGATTATTACTTCGTAAACAGAAATATGTTTATGGAGATTTTTGGATAGAATTCTCTTTTTATCTGTAATATTAGAGACCAAGCGAACAGATATATTGCTGTTATTTATTTGGCGTCATAGATGGGATTTAATTATCTAAAATTTTTTTCGTAAAATGTAGAAATTTGATTTTAATAAGAATGCAAATGTTCTTTAATAAAATGGAATTTATAAATTATGAAGGTACCTGGGTGAGGTATGTTACAATATTCACCTAAAAAAGGATAAATAACAATGTTTTTTTTTTTTAATAAAATTGGCCAAAATATTTGATACCCTTAAGTTTTCTGAATTTTTACAAAATTTAATTTTTTGGCCAATTTACCAAAACATTTGGGATATTGGTATTCTTTCTTTTTTTTTTCTACATCCGATTTGCAGTAAAACACTAATTCAACCTATTTTATTATTTATATCTTTCGCAATACCTACGGTGTTTGTATTTTATATAATATTTTATTGGTGATTGTTTATTTTAATTTTAATTTTCTTTGCATGGTCTCGTTTTTGGGAATATACAGCAGAAAGATCTTATCGTAAGTAGTATTTTTTTTATTTATTAATTTTGTGCTTATGCTTGTAATTTAATTGTACACCACCATGTATATAGAGATGTATATAAATAGATTAAGCCATTTACGGAGAAAGTAATAAAATTATTGTTGGTTTTTTGATAAGTGGCCGAGATAAAAAATACAGCTTAATAATCACATCCTACCTAAAAAGATGATTCATATTAAAAAACCAAAATTTATTTCCAGTGTGATCATGATCTTTTTCTTTAGAATAATATTTTATAACTCTCCTTATCAGTCATTATGGAAGTTATTTATAAAAATGTATTTGTAGGTTTTTGTCATAAATACAAAATTTTGATTTGTTTTATCATAGCATCTTCATATTCCTCTTTTGACAACAATAACTCTAACTACAAGGGGTTTCATTAAAATAATTATAAGGTACACAATATTATAATTATTATACAACACTCATTTCAACCAATATATTCATTATCACTATAACTACAGATATGGACCGAACAATTTTTGTTAAGACACACAGTGAGGCATTGGTATTTTTTACGTAATCTAGCTGATCAGAAAATTTTCTATCTAAATATTCTCCTACAATATACAGGATCAATCCTAAGTTGGTACTTTTTTAACTGTGTATAGAAGTCATTAAATTAAACAACTTTTTCAAAAAAACTCAAAAGTAAGAGCCTGTCTAACTTAAATAATGTATTCAGAGTTGTCATTGCGTGCAATTAATTTATTCTTAAGATAAATATTTTAAGAATCGTCGTTGGACACCTTCAAGGATATTTTTTTGACCTGCATAGCAAGGATACCAGCAATCCATAATCTAGTCTAGATCTAACCAGAGAACAATTGCTTGCAGTTACTAATAATGAAGTCTTAACATCTTCAGAGAGGATGAGATTACATTTTCGAAATGCTCATGCAAACATCTACTATCATCAAAGTCTATGTGACCATTAAGAACTTTCCAAAGTAGTGTTATTTGCTAAAAAGTTCGACGTTTTGCCAGATCTGAGAATTTCAATTGTGTCAATAGCAGATCATGAGGAAAGTCTCTTGGGGGATATATGCCATCTAATATAAAAGAAACCGATTTCATAAATTTTCTTTGAATTTTTTCGATTAGGTCAATATAAACATTTTGTCTGGGACTCTATATCTCAGATGCATATTCAAATTTCGATCGAGCCAAGCTGTTATATAAGATTTTTAATGTGGACATATCTGAGAATTCTTTGCAACTTATGACAAACCCTAGTGTTTTATTGGCAGATGATACCATTGATTTAATGTGTTCAGGATCAAAATATACCCCCAGATCTCTTACAAACTCAGGCCTATTGAGAATAATATCATGCAATCTATAATTAAAAGTGAAAGCAGTTAATCGCCTGGTAAAGGACATAATCAAACATTTTTCTCGATTCAATGGGAGTAAACTATCCTGACACCAATCCGCTATACCATCCAGACACTTTTGTAAAAGTTTGTAGTCATTCGTTGAACGAACTTCCACCAATAATTTTAGATCATCTGCATACATTAAGACCTTTATATCATTGATGTTTAGAACAATATCATTCAAAAATATATTGAATAAAAGAGGTCCCAAAATTGATCCCTCTGGTACTCCTGAAAACTGGAATTTTTCTGACTTATAACCACGGCACTGGACATGCTGATGTCTGTCTTGTAAGAAGTTAACAGCAGATGTAGCTCCGTGCTTAAACCTATGGAGGAAAGTTTTTTGAGTAAGATGGTATGGTTAATTCTGTCGAAAGCTTTAGAAAAGTCAGTGTATATTATATCTTCTTGACTCTTTCTATCTAGGGCCTCTGATATAAACTTTGTGGAATAAATAAGATTTGTTACCGTGGATCTGCCTTTCATGAATCCGTGTTGATATGAGGATATAGATCGGGAGATATGATTTGATAAATGATCATGAAGAACGAATGCTAATATCTTAGCAAAGTTACATATAATACTAATAGGTCTATAATTTTGAACATGATTTTTATTGCCTTTTAGGTGAACTGGAGTTACACGAGATATCTTCAGTGCAAGATTTTAGAATTTTTTTAAAAATTGTATGTAGAGGAGTTTCAAAAATGTATGCACAATCTTAAATAATAAAGGCAGATAGCAGGTCAAGCCCCATTGTCATATTTGGTTTCAATTTTTTAATAGCCTTGACAATTTCGTCTTGAGATATTGATTTTATATATAGCGTCGGAAAATTTGAAGTCAATTCATTTGCGTAGTTGGTAGATGCTGACTGAGAAGAACTATTAAAGAAATGATCAGCAGAAGCCTGGTCAATTGCTTGTGGGTCTTCGATAAAGCAGTTTTTATACTCAACTGATGTTGGTATAGAGAATGAAGGAAGAGTTTTTAGAATTCATATAGCTCCAGAATTGTTTTTGCAAAAGTTTTGACAACATTTAGTTTGGCAGACATACTAGGACCATTTATCTGAGAAGCGTACTATGGTATATTAAAATCGCCGATTACAAGAAGATTTTTATCATATAAAGTTGTAAATAGTAATAGTGTTTCCAGAACTACCTCATAGAACAAGTACGTTGGATAGTAGTATAGGTTAATTTGATAAAAATTCAGGAAAGTTTTTGATGGTTGTGACTGAAGGAGCGAACTCTGCATTTCTGAACATTCAGTATTAATTTATTAATGGTGCACCATCTTGCAATGCTATTGGGTTGCTCTGTAGCCTCTGACCATCGCTTGGTGAGTAAATAGGTTTGAAAATTTTTAAATCATCTGCAAAAAAACAAGAAGTTGGAGTTAATTTGCTTGGTTAGAACCTCTGCAAGATCATTGATAAATAATGAAAACAGAAGAGGTCCTAAGTTTGACCCTTGTGGAACGCCCGATGTAGCTGTGATGGGGCGGATCTGAAACCGCTCTACATGATAAATTGATGGCGATTATTTAAATAAAATAAGTATATAAGATTATTGATAAAGCTGTAATAGTTTAATTTGTAGAGAAGTTAGGATCGATTCTGACAAAACTTTAGCAACGTGTTTTCTATTATCAAGTATGGTAGATATAAGTTGTTTAATTTCTGCAAGATACTTGATAGAACATTGCTCTATAAAACCGTGCTGCCTATAGGATATTAAACTAACTAGTAGAACAATTTGTCTATACATACGTATTTCAAAAATTAAAGTTCTGGGAATTAATGGAAGGCGTTCAATATACAACACCCATACTGCAGCTGTACTTTAAAGACAAGTTTATTGTTGTCATAATTCACAACTTCAGATAAACACGCTACTGAAATCACACGCGACTGAATAACAATAACCGGTACATTATGAAGCTTGATTTATAAGGAAATTGCTCTAATGTGGCCATTTTCTTAAATGAAAATAAAAATACTTAAAATCAAGTTCCACACAAAATGTTTTGGGCCACCATCAGGCCTTAAGCCCTTGGGGCGAAATAGGTAGCCTCCATTTACTTTTGTTTCTAATAAAAAACAATTGATTTTGAGTATTTCCCGTTTAAAAAAATAAATGTAAAAAGATAAAAAACAAACAGGCTTCTTACTTAGCCTAACATTTCATACACAGTCCAGTCCCGGATTTATATTTTTTAATTCTGTATCTTTCTTATTTTTGAGTTCTTTGAGAAAGGTGTTTTAACGACTTCTATACACAGTTTAAAAAGTATCAACTTAGAATTCGCCCTGTATATATGTGTAAATATTCTGTATCTATTTAATTTATTTTACCACACAAGTGCGTAAAGCATGCTATTGCGACATTCAAGAGAATGACATGTAGTATGACATAATGTATTGGTATTCAATAAATATTTATTCATGGTTAGATTGATTACATAAAAATTATCTACTTAAAATACGTTGGGATTGGAGATTAAACAAAACCACTAGTTATACAAAATCGCCTGAAATATAGTTTTATTTTGAATGACTGTGATATTTGTAAATACAGTGCGCATTTCCGCTTTTTTTGCTGCTATATAGTTTGTTTTAAATATTTTGCTTAATAGTACCTGGTAGAATTAATAATTATACATACACACACATATTATTTTGGTATATTAAAAATATCTCAGCATTATTTTTCCTTACTTTACATGCGGTCAATGCCAGAGTCCTACAAGAGAATTCTCGGTATGTAAGTTTGATGTTTTGCATATTTTGGGATATATCGCTATTATCACATGCACCGGTTGTCTAGCATGGTTCCCATGTTTTGTTTTAACACCACCCAAAAACTAAGCCTACATTTGAGCACATTTAATTTAATACGCTCTTTTACAAACCATGGTTTATGCATAATTGTTTTTTTTTTTTTTTAGATTTTTAAGAGTGCAAGTTTCTTTTTTGTTGCGTTTTTTTTTGTCCGTTCAGATTACCGACGGCAATACTGCAAAACCTCGTTGTGTTTTTAGCTGCTACAGATCATAAAAATTATAGATTAGAATATTTTCTTAATCGTATTTTGAACTTTATCTATATCTCCACTTGTGGTATTTTTTACAGGGACGGGGTCTATTCTGTAACATTTTAGTTAATTTTATCTACCAGGTTAAAAATTTTAACCTAAATCTTTATTTGTATTCCGTCAGTTTAACTTTCAGTTATTAATTATTTTATAACCAGCCCCGGTTAAATAAATAACAACGTTGTAGTATATACCTGAAAGTACATTGAAATTAAACCTATTAGAGAATTAAAAGAAGAAAAAAGATGTTTGATATTCAATCAAAAATAATTTTCGTTATTTTTTACTTTGAAACTTGACGATTCCCTTATAATAAAATTAAGGATTATTTGATAAAAAAGTATAATTTACAATTTCAAATTAAAAATAAATACTAAGGAGTTAATTATATATTCAAATATAATAATAAAGAAAAAATAGGCATAAAAAAATAATAACAAACCAGACTGATGGTTTGATCCCGATACCAAATTAATCAAAAGCCATTTGGTTTGAAATTACTGAAAAAAATGTAAAAACAGTTGCATTGTTTCTAAAAAAAATGTTAATTTAGTACAAATGGACTTCTCTTATTTAGAGGAAAAATGTACTATTTTCCTTTACGTATTTACGTAAAAAAGCAACTTACGAGGTTTTGAAGTTTATGTCTTACATTTATGTAAAAAATAAAAAAGAATGACTAAGTGATTATATAAAAAAGCAGTAGGTAATAAAGAGAAAGTTGCACAAGGCGTATCGCTTAATATATCCAGTGAAAAACGTCTAAAAAACCCAATAAATTATTTTGATTAGGCCGCTCTACTTTATGGTTGAAAGTTTGATAGTTGACTTCTCAATTTTTCAAACAAACAAAATTCCTATTGTTTTAAAATGGCACTGGATATATCTATTTGTACACTATACATATATACAAACTAAAATACTACTGTATTAATTTATTACTACACAAGGGGAAAACATTCTACTGACTACCATTCATATTTGTCATTTTACACCACAGTTTTTAACTTTAATGTTTTTTTTAATTGCACTACTAGAATGATGTCTCATACATACGTTGTACAATCAAAATATAAAACATAAAAGCAACCGATTACTTTTTTACAAACTGTAACAAATAAAGATATATTTTTATTGATTGTAAAACAGTATTTAATCTTAAGGTATATCATCAGAAAGTAAATTTGATATATTTTTGTAAAAGCGTCACTTTACCTATCTATATACTCGAAATGCAGGATTAACTTCCATTTGACTGGTCTTCTAAGGATTCTAGAACATATTTGGCGCCAACATTCTTAAAGCAAGTGACAGTATACTTAGGTGACCATTTTACATGTTGTTTGGGCCTAATTTTTGTAGACATTGGATATACAATATTTTTGTAGACATTGGATATACAATTTTCAGTATACCATTGAATTAATCAATCCATGTTTACCAACGAACCAATTATCATCTTTTGGCATCTTCTTAGTTTCGAATAACCAATCATTCTTTTTGGACTTAGAAGGTTTTTATAACTCTTTCTCTATTACTTTTTTAGAGTTCATACGTATTAGATAACCCGATTTAATTTGTAAATCCACTGAAGAATTAGATTATACCCCCTATCTATCCCTAACGTATGTGCCTTTCCAAATAATCACCTTGTATTATTGATTATTACAATAAATTTTTCCACATTTTCGCTTTAAACATCAACATTCTTTCTTACATTTCGACTTACATATTTTTTCTCTCCCTCGTTAGATGCTTCCTATATAATTGATATACCTTAAGATTTAATCTTTGCATTGTATACAACTAACTCGTGTGTATATTTTTGTTGCCTTCTAAGTATCGAATTAACAACTGAGTTTATCTGATACAGGGTGGATTAGAACAGCAACTCCTGCAAGCGAATCCGATTTTAGAAGCCTTTGGTAACGCGAAAACCATCAAAAATGACAACTCTTCCAGATTTGTGAGTGAATCGAACCCTTCCGTTGTTAATTTGAATACTAAAATGATCTATTTTAGGGTAAATTTATCAGGATTAACTTCGATGCTTCCGGTTACATCGCTGGAGCCAACATAGAAACCTATTTATTAGAAAAATCTCGTGCCATTCGACAAGCGAAATCAGAACGAACGTTTCACATATTCTATCAACTTCTAGCAGGTGCTTCCGAAACTCAAAGAAGTAAGTTTTCTGTCCCAAAACGTATTAGTGTGGATTCTTGAAGAAATGTCTATCAGCATTTCAAATATGTGAACATTTTTCTCATATAAGTATATTGTTTCAGAGGAATTCATTTTAGAAGATGCCAGATCGTATGCCTTCCTCCGAGAAGACAATCATATAGTCCCAGGTGTAGACGATGCACAGGAATTCTTGGGAACCGTAAAGAGTATGAACATCATGGGAATGACCAATGACGATTTTAGTGCCATTTTCAGAGTAGTGTCAGCCGTTATGTTATTTAGCAAGATGGAATTCAAACAAGATCGTAGTTCTGATCAAGCTACGCTACCTGATAATACTGTAGCCCAAAAAATAGCTCATTTACTAGGACTTTCCGTTACAGACATGACACGAGCATTCTTGAAACCTAGAATTAAAGTTGGTAGAGACTTCGTTACTAAAAGTCAGACCAAAGAACAAGTCGAATTTGCCGTTGAAGCTGTTTCGAAAGCTTGCTATGAACGTATGTTTAAGTGGTTAGTAACCAGAATTAACAGATCACTTGGTAGAACTAAGAGACAAGGTGCCAGTTTCATTGGTATTCTAGATATTGCTGGTTTTGAAATCTTCGATCTTAACTCGTTTGAACAGTTGTGCATAAATTACACCAACGAAAAGTTGCAGCAACTCTTCAACCACACCATGTTCATCTTGGAACAAGAAGAATACCAACGAGAAGGAATAGAGTGGAAGTTCATCGATTTTGGTTTAGATTTACAGCCAACAATTGATCTGATAGACAAACCTATGGGAATTATGGCCCTGTTAGATGAAGAATGTCTTTTCCCTAAAGCGACTGATAAAACTTTTGTTGACAAACTAGTAACTTCCCATTCCGTACATCCCAAGTTCAAGAAGAGTGACTTCCGTGGAGTAGCCGATTTCTCAATTATTCATTATGCTGGAAAAGTCGACTACTGCGCTAACCAGTGGTTGATGAAGAATATGGACCCACAAAATGAAAACGTTGTCTCGTTACTGCAAACTTCCCAGGATCCTTTCGTTGTACATATCTGGAAAGATGCTGAAAGCTTAGGAAGAGCCAAAGGAATGTTCAGAACTGTGTCTCACCTCTACAAAGACCAATTAGCTAATTTAATGGTTACTTTACGTAATACAAATCCCAACTTTGTTCGTTGCATCATTCCTAACCATGATAAAAGAGCTGGCAAGATTGATGCTCCTTTAGTTTTAGATCAACTCAGATGTAATGGTGTATTAGAAGGTATTCGTATTTGTAGACAAGGTTTCCCTAACAGAATACCTTTCCAAGAATTTAGACAGAGATACGAACTTCTAACACCAAACGTTATCAACAAAGGCTTCATGGATGGCAAAAAAGCCTGCGAAGCAATGATCAAATCACTTGAATTGGATAAAAACTTGTACAGGGTTGGACAATCTAAAATCTTCTTCAGAGCTGGTGTTCTGGCACATCTTGAAGAAGAAAGAGATTATAAGATTACAGATCTCATTGTTAACTTCCAAGCTTTCTGTAGAGGATTTCTCTCTAGAAGAAACTACCAGAAGAGAGTCCAACAACTTAATGCTATCCGAATTATCCAAAGAAATTGTTCCGCTTATCTAAAACTAAGAAACTGGCAATGGTGGAGGTTGTACACTAAAGTCAAACCATTACTTGAAGTAACCAAACAAGAAGAAAAACTGATGCAAAAAGAAGATGAGCTCAAGCAAGTGAAAGATAAACTCGATCACCATATCAAAGCAGCTGAAGAATATGAACAAAAGTATCAACTTGCTCAAGAGGAAAAGACCGTCCTTCAAGAACAATTACAGGCTGAAGTAGAATTATGTGCTGAAGCTGAAGAAATGCGGGCTAGGTTAACTGCCCGAAAACAGGAATTAGAAGAAATCTTACACGACCTGGAAGCTAGAATCGAAGAGGAAGAAGAGAGAACTACCACTTTAAACAATGATAAGAAAAAATTGCAACTTACCATTCAAGATTTGGAAGAACAATTAGAGGAAGAGGAAGCTGCTAGACAAAAGATTCAATTAGAAAAAGTACAATGCGATCATAAACTTAAAAAATTAGAAGAAGATCTAGCTTTAAGTGAAGACAGTAATCAGAAACTTCTGAAAGAAAAGAAAGCATATGAAGAGCGCAGTAATGATTTAAGCCAAGCCTTAGCCGAAGAAGAGGAAAAGGCTAAACACTTGGCTAAACTGAAAGCTAAACACGAATCGACTATTGCAGAATTAGAAGAACGTCTATTAAAAGATCACCAACAAAGACAGGAGACAGATCGCTCCAAAAGGAAAATCGAAACTGAAGTAAACGATCTCAAAGAACAAGTGAATGAAAAACGCAGCCAAATAGAAGATCTCCAACTGCAATTAGGTAAAAGAGAAGAAGAATTAGCTCAGGCCATGGTCAAGGTAGATGAAGAAGGCGCCCAAAAAGCTCAAGCTCAGAAAGCTCTTAGAGAACTAGAAAGCCAACTTACTGAATTACAAGAGGACCTCGAAGCTGAAAAGGCGGCCAGAAGCAAGGCTGAAAAAATGAAGAGAGATCTTAACGAAGAACTAGAGGCATTGAAGAACGAACTTCTAGATTCATTAGATACTACGGCTGCTCAACAAGAACTCAGATCAAAGCGAGAACAGGAACTTGCCGGTTTGAAGAAAACTTTGGAAGATGAAGCTCAATTGCATGAAGTTACGCAGGCTGATATGAGACACAAACATTCTCAGGAACTCGCATCTTTGAATGAACAATTAGAGAACCTGAAGAAACTTAAAGCTAATCTCGAAAAAACTAAACAAAGCCTCGAAGCTGAAAACGCCGACCTGACAAGCGAACTCAGGAACGTTGGAGCTAGTAGACAAGAAGGTACGTTTGTGAACATTATTTGCTATTTCGATGATGACTATTATACATTTTTTTTAGGCGAAAGACGGCGTAAACAAGCTGAGAGTCAATTGGCTGAACTATCTGCTAAATTATCGGAAGTAGATAGGTCGAAAATTGAGCTACAAGAAAAAACTATTAAATTGCAACAAGAACTAGAAAATGTTGTGCAACAGCTAGAAGCAGCTGAGCTCAAGTAAGAATTTTCTTAATGATTATCAATGCTTCACACTAATTACTTTCACGTTTCTTATAGAGCATCTGCTGCCGTAAAAAGTCAAGCTACGATGGAATCCCAATTTACCGAAGCTCAGACGGCTCTAGAAGAAGAAACTAAACAGAAACTAGCCCTAAGCTCTAAATTGAGACAACTGGAATCTGACAAAGAAGCCTTGCAAGAACAAATGGAAGAGGAAGAGGAAGCCAGGAAGAATATCGAGAAACAAGTAAGTGTTTTTTTTTTAATCTAGTATTTTTTTAATTCGATTTTTTTAAGGTTGCTATTATGACTGTACAACTTGTTGAAGCCAGGAAAAAAGCCGAGGATGAAGCTGAACAAGCTGCCATATTAGAAGAAAGTAAGAAGAAATTGGCTAAAGATTTGGAGTTATTACAAAGGCAAGTAGAGGAACTAACAGCTGCCAATGACAAACTAGAAAGAAGCAAAAAGAAGATAGCTGCCGAATTAGAAGATGCAAATATTGATCTCGAAACTCAAAGACAGAAAGTTTCTGAACTAGAAAAGAAGCAGAAGAACTTTGATAAGGTTCTAGCTGAAGAAAAAGCTGTTAGTGAACAATTGGCTGCCGAAAAGGATGTTGTAGAAAAAGAAGCTAGAGACAAGGAAACCTTAGTATTATCCCTGAAACGCGAACTTGACGACTCTAACGTTAAAATTGAAGAATTGGAAAGAATGCGAAGGACGTTACAAGGCGAACTTGATGAATTGGTCAACAACCAAGGTACAGCTGATAAGAACGTTCACGAATTAGAAAAGGCTAAGAGATCCCTAGAAAGTCAATTAGCGGAACTTAAAGCCCAAAACGAAGAGTTAGAAGACGAATTACAATTAACCGAAGACGCCAAACTAAGATTGGAAGTTAATATGCAAGCTCTTAGAGCCCAATTCGAAAGAGACATACAAGCAAAGGAAGAACAAGCCGAAGAAAAGAGACGAGGCATCGTTAAACAACTGAGAGATCTCGAAGCCGAATTGGACGAGGAAAGAAAACAAAGAGCAGCCGCGGTTATTGCCAGGAAGAAGTTGGAAGGTGATATTAAAGAATTAGAAAGCCAAATTGAACTTCACTGTAAGGTCAAAGAAGATGCCCTCAAACAGTTGAAAAAATCTCAGCAACAATGCAAGGAAGCGATCAGAGATGCCGAAGAATGCCGAGCGGCAAGAGATGAATATGCAGCTTCGAGCAAAGAGGCCGAAAGGAAAGTTAAGACTTTGGAAGCGGAGGTGCTTCAACTCACAGATGACGTCGCTAATTCCGAGAAATCCAGAAGGGCAGCTGAAGCCGAAAGAGACGAATTATTAGAAGAAATAAACAGTAGTAATAGCAAAGGTACGATCTATTTAGACCAGTAAGTTGTTCTTATAAATATATATTTCGTTTACAGGTAGTTTACTGATCGACGAAAAACGTAGGTTAGAAGCTAGAATAGCTACTTTAGAGGAAGAAATCGAGGAAGAACAAAGCAATAACGAGATACTGCAGGACAGGGCCAGAAAAGCGCAATTGTCCATTGAACAATTGACCGCGGAATTGTCGAGCGAACGGTCGGCGGCGCAGAAGCAGGAATCGCAGCGATTGTTGCTCGAAAGGCAAAACAAAGAACTCAAAGCCAAACTGGCGGAACTCGAAACTGCTCAAAGAACAAAGACCAAGGCGCATATTGCCGCTTTAGAGAGCAAGATATCGAACCTAGAGGAACAGCTTGATGTAAGTATCGATTTTTTTTACTAACAAAAATTTGAATATAAGAATTGTAGAGGTAATATTGTCACACGAGTGAGATAATCATACGGTTGCAAAAACTCACTTCGCACAAGTGATGTATATTATTTTCAAACGAATATAAGACAAATTTAAAATCAGCTGACTAAGTTGGAAGGTTCAGTCTAAATGTGGTTGATTTCTATGTTTGGCTTTGGATTATGGAAATTAGGTTAAGTTCCCGATAAAAGCAATATTTTTTTAATAATAAAACTATATGAAAGTTGAAAAATTGTGTAATTGTTTTAAATCCATTTTTATTGTAACATACTAACAAATGTCGTTTTTGCACTGAGTCTGAAATTAAAATTTTCCTATATTATATTTCAAATGAGCGGCCGTTAAGGACTTTTTTTTTGTCTAGAGCGAATAAATTTACGTCAACGTTATGCCATGATTATTTTTAAGTCATTTTTAAAAATAAGTTGTTACAGTTTTTTCCTTAAAGGCCTAACATAACCTCATTTTGTTTTCGTTCGTTTCTTTTTTATAATCGATTCTGTTTTACAGTCGATTCTTTTTTTTTACAGTCTAGTTTTCTTTTACTATTGATAATTTCTGCAATCGATTACTAATCTCATCTAAACAATTCTTTTTACTCTCGATTTTAGACATTCTTTATGGCTGATTCTTTTTAAAATAAATTCTTTTTTATTGTAAATACATTTTACAATCGATTCGATTTACCCTCGATTCTTTTTACAAACGGTTATATTTTAATTTTATCTCAACTAATCGATTCATTTGACTATCGAATATTTTTTACAATCGACTCTACAATCAATTTATTTTACAATAGAATAATTTTTTTTACAATCGATTCTTTTTCATTATTAATACTTTTTACAATCGATTCTGATCAAATATATTTGTCCTACTCTTAGGTTTATGAGATATTAGGTATATTTTTTATGAAACCCCAACATAAAAACGTCTATGTCATTCTTTTTACTATCGATTTTTGACATTGAATGGTTTACAACCGATTCTTTTTGCTATCGATACTTTCTGCAATAATCGATTATTTTTACGATCAATTCATTTTACAATCGATAATTTTTTAGTCGCTTTTTTTATTTGATTTCTATCATTATATTTTTTTACAATCAATACTTGTTACATTCGATTCTATTTACACTCGATTCTGTTATAACAATTAACTTGATTCCTTTACTGTCGATTTTGTTTTTAAAATCGATTCTTTTTACTTACGACACCTCGCAATCGATTATTTTTTTACAATCGGTTAATTGTACAATCGAAGAATCATTTTTTACTATTATTAATACTTTTACAATCAATTCTTTTTACAATCGATAAGGTTTACAGTCGATTTTTTTTTAATGGCTTTAATTGATTCTAATTTAACTTAATCTCATTTTATCAATTCATTTTACAATCTAATCCTGTTTTATTATTTATAATTTTTACAATCGACTTTTTGCAATACATTTTTATAATCGATACTTTTTACATTTGATTCTTTTTATATTCTATTCTATTTTAACTTAATGTCATCTAATCTTTTTACTGTCTATTCTTTTTTACAATCGATTCTTTTTACTATCGACGCCGTGCCATCGATTATTTTTTACAGTTATATCATTTTACGATTGAATCCTTATATAATCGACTCTTACAATCGATTCTATTTTAACTTAATCTTATCTAATCGATTCTTTTTAATGACGATTATTTGTTATTATCGACACCTTGCAATCGATTATTTTTTTACAATCAATTCATTTTACTATCAAATCCATTTTTACAATTGATCTTTTTTTATTATTCATATTTTTTCATTTAATTCTATTTCCATTTGATTATGATCAAATAAGTATCTATACATCAATTATTTTAGGTACTATATTATTCATGAAACCCCAAAATAAACAATATATGGGATTAATATCCAACCAATACATGGTCAGTAGGATAGAGAAAGTTAATATTAAAAAATACATGTTTTTAATAGTTTTATTTCGTATAAAGTGTGTTTAAGGTTATGATCTGATTTTTTCCCACACCCTGCATAATTTTTATAAAGGGTGATCTTTTGAAAAGGATCCACCCTGCATATGGAACTGTCATACGTCATTCATCTCTTCGCCCGCCATTCTAATCAATACAATTAAAATAGGGAAAGTGTGACACATTGAAAAGGTAATTTTATGGGGAATCCATCAGTATGACGGGTTCATTGAATTAGTTTTGATTTTAGCGCCCTCTAGCGGAATAAAAAACTTACATATTGTTAAGTGTAACTCTTTGTTTGAAAGCTAATTTTATTGAAAGTTTAATGCAAAACATAACAAAATATTATTGAATGAAACAGGCACTTCAATAATAATTGAAAAAGCTTGTAGAACTCTTGACGTTAAGAAATACGTATTTTAATCACAATCAACCAAAATAACAAATTTGTGCTACACATTAAATTGTTAATAAAATTAGCTTTCAAATAAAGTGTTACATTTTACAATACGTAAGTTTTTTATACCGTTAGGGGTCGCTAAAATCAAATGTAACACAATGTCAAAATTCTGAATTTCCCAAAAAATTACATTTTCAATGATGTCATACGTTCTCTATTTAAAATCATAAAATCTATTGTTTAGAATGAAGGTGAGGATGCCGAGGGGAATGACGTATGATAGTTGAGAATATGAAAAATTGCCATAACAGTTATATACTCTGAGAATTTCAAAATGGATATTTTTGAAAAATCGCACAGTATTTATATTTGTTTGCTAAACTGGGTACTTTTATAGGTGGAAGCAAAGGAACGTCTTGTCCAACAAAAAACCAACCGCAAATTGGATAAAAAAGCAAAGGAATTGGTCATGCAATTGGACGATGAACGTCGACACGCGGATCAGTACAAAGAACAAGTTGAAAAGGCTAACGCGCGCGTCAAAGCCCTCAAACGGCAGTTAGACGAAGCCGAAGAAGAAGTGACTAGAGAGAAAGCGCAAAAGCGAAAGGCTCAAAGGGAATGTGAAGATATGTTGGAATCGCATGAATCCATGACCAGGGAAATCAACAACTTAAAGAGTAAATTGAGGTTAGTATCCTGTTTATTTTAAAATTTAGCAATGGGATAAATATATAAATCGACAAAGTTGTTCATCATTAAAAAAACATTCTTTTAATTCCACACTAGTTTTGTTCTTTTTGTTCTCTTCCGAGTCGCTTTATACATTTTTTCCTATTACGAAATATATATTTTTAATGTATTTATTGTTATTTCAAAGATTATCAAACTAAAAGGTCGTATTTACATTACATTTGAAATTACTTTCTAGCCTGATGAACTGACCAGCGTTGAAGTAATTTTTGGTATGTGATTAGATGGATAAAATGTTTGCTGCAGAAAATATTTGTTTCTAAAATAAAAAAAAATATCGCTTCATAACTTAATTGGCTGCGGGCATACATAACTGTACATAATCTGATTTTTTCCATCTCTCAAATCAGTTTTATACGTTTTAAATAAAATTATAACCTGACGCATTCGTTTTATTTTTAATTATTCATATGAGGAGCACTGATAAAGTTCGCAGAATCAAGTTATTATTCTTTTTAATTAAAATAAACATTAATTAAAAGTTTAATAATTTTAGTACTAAATTTTTATTAACCCTCGTAAAATATAGTACCGGTGAGAGAAATCAAAGTGACTATTTGCATTCATAAATCTATAGTTCTCGAAATTCCATTAGGCTCAGCACTTTTCAGTGGAAAAATCTCGATTTGCAGAGTTATCTGAACCTTCATCATACAACTATTTCAAAATAATAAACACGTTAGTACCATTTTCATTTTGGAAGTCCTTTTTTTGTAATTTAATTTTGTTAACTAGTACTACAACTATGGTATAAAGCCTGTGCATCATACTAGGTTTAAGCCCCAATGTGCTCCCTACCATCCGTCTACAGGCCCATAATATTCTTACAGCAGTTTCTATATGGCTGCAGAACCTAAGCTTGCCATTAAGAGTAATTATTTCGCCATTTTTAGATGCTGTCCCCACATCTAAGGTTCCTTTTTCTTGTGAATTCAACAAGAGAGGTTTTCGTTGAGTTTAGGCACCATCTTTTGACGATATATGGTGCCTGCTGAATCCTTTCGGAAACAATAGTCCTAAATTTACTGTTTAGTACGATGCTTATGTCGTCTGCAAATGCTTGCGTTTCTCTTTAACTCCCATGAGAGGTCATCGACCACCAAGGTCCACATGAGTGGAGATAAAACTCCCTCTGGGGACATCCCTTATTAACTAAGAGATTGCTGGTAATGGTTCTATGATTAAGCAAGAACTCATCGTGCTGCGCCACGCCTGCATAGATCCCAATATTGGGGCCGAATAATAGGTTCCTATGTCTTGAATTGATCTGAAAGATTTGGTCTCTATGTAAGACGCTTTCCCAGGTTTGTGAATGAAGACGATGCAGATCTCCAGCTTTGTGGAACATATCTAAGGACTATGTTTGCTCGGAATATTTGCCCCTCTAGTACTTCCTGGCTCTTTTGTAGAATTGCTGGGATTATACCATCAGATCCAGTTGTCTTGTATGGTTAAAAGGAATTTATCTCCCATTCAAGTTCTGTTATGTTTACTGTTGTATTTGCCTCGATACTCCTGTTCTCTTGGTCAAAGATAGTCTCCATACAGGGAAATGTTACTTTACTAATAAGTTTAAAGTCTCCTGGTTGATTTTTCAGAGATCCATGCATTCCTGAGTCTGGAACATTCTGGAAGGCTTTCAATGCCGTCAACAATTTCTTCCAGGAATTTTCTTTGGCTTTCCGAATTACATAATCATATTCTCTCTGGTATTCCTTGTAGGTTTACCAGTTCCCCGAATTAAACCAAGTTACTCTAATATAATAATTAAGCATCTCATCTTTATTTTGCTTGATGCGTCGGTTTACATACTGTATAATTTCCAATGAATGATCATTATTGTTTAATCATTTCGAAGTTTTCATGAGGAATATTCAGAATATTCTTTCTTTTTTGTTCAATCTATTTTTTGCACTTCACTAGTAATCTTTTGATCCACCACCTGCTGCTTTTATATTTCTGCGCGAAAAAATTGATTTCAGTGATAATTTTGACCATGATCTCGGGATTTCCGTGATATTTTGCAGATTTGACAGAATTTGTATCGATTTCAAGCTTTACCAGTGCTCTTCGTAAGTGTTGTTGCAGTTTAATATTTATCATTCATGAGTTGACATTTTTTAATTCAATTTTTATTATTTATTTTTATCATTCAATTTACTAATTCTCATTTTTCATAAAAAGGCTGGTGAACATTGGGCACTTTTGCTTTAAAAGTTGGTTTGTTACTATAAAATAAAAAAAAATGTGGTTTAGCTTATCTCAGATTACCACCACACCTGCTTTTACAACCAACGAGCAAATTCAAGTGAGTTTACCAGAAACGATTAAGAAATTGTGGGGGGTTGTACATGAAGCCAAGTGAGTTCGACTTTTCCCCGAGTCACACCCCTTAAGTTTTGATTTTGAAAATGAACGTCTATCCAATTACCAAACAAATTTAATATCCGATTAAAATATCACCTTTTTACTAATTAATAATGTTGTGGTTTGCATAGTATTAACCCTATTAGAGTAATTCTAGTTTTTAGCATGTTTTATTGCATCCGACACTAAAAATGATATTTGATGAAATTTGTGTGACATTTGTTTTAAAAGCCATTGATTTTAAAATTTTAAACCTTCAGAGCATTCCAAAGAATTGTTTGCAAAAATCTGTAACTAGACAGTCAAATCATATTAAATCTTGAGGATGATTACCAAAAATGCCACTATGCGGTTTAAAGCTAGTATTAAAAGGTCACCAAGCTCTAGTAGAAGCATCAAATAAGAATGTGGTCGTACTGAGGTTCATTCAACTGCCAGGACTAAAACCTTTTGGATACTAGCTCTCCACAGGCATTAGGACGTCAGCAGTAATGCAATCAAGCAATGCCAAACTTGTAGTAAACTGAAAACTTGTATTCAGGCTGACAAATTGAAATTAAACATCTTGAGGAGGATGCACAATTAGGGTACAAACACAGAGAACGCTGGCGAATGTTGGTTTTGTCAGCGCTTCTATTCTCTCTCTCAATGAGTTTAAATATAAATGACAAAGCGAGCCGATCAGCGAGGACCTGCTTTATCTGTGTGCGAGGACATTTAAAATCATTGTTAATTGCCGGCGCTTATAATCAACCAGCGTTCTCTGTGTTTGTACCATTAGGTCCTAAATGCTTTGAAGCTTGGACTACTCTACTGACAATTCAGATGCATATCTCAGTATGACATTCCCAATTTCTTGATCCATAGGACTTAGAGTATTTATTTGTGATATATTTAGCTATGAACACTTTTTTGGAATGGTCTGTTTAATGTTTGACTTCAATATGTTCTAAATAGTTATTTGACGTGACAATAATTGGAATGTTGGAATAATAATTACGATGTAGGAAGTCATATATTAGATCTACAACACTTTATATGAGATTACAGTCATTTGAAACTATCTAATTAATAAATCCAGGATATTAATTAATAAAATACAATTTGATTGCAATAAAGGTTGAATTACTAAAACTAATAAATTTATATTAAAAAATATGTTCCTCTTATCACTGTAAATCATTAATATTTCAATGATTTATAAAATTCTTGTACTGAAAAGTGTTTTTGGTCTAATATGTTGGGTGAAAAAGTGGTATGCGTCACTTATATCGGACATTTTTAAATGGAACATCCTATATATACTGGGTGATCCAGTAGCAGCCCTATAACTTTTTTATTTGAATGAAAAACTATTATACTAATATATATATTTTTTGATTGGTTTACTGTAAGTTATTAAATAGCAAAAGCAAATTTTTTATAGGGTGACACATATAGGTCAAATTGACATATAGCAACTTTTTTTTTTACTTGGTGGTGTGTGTCGTATGTTATATTTTAAATGACGATAAAGGGTTATGTTAATAGAATCCTGTAAAAAATACATATTTTTTGGAATTTTTTTAGAAAAAACAATCATTTTCTTGAATTATAGATATGTACTTAATTTTAATCATATTTAACGAGCCGTTACTGAGTTCTGCCTAAAAAGAATTAAAATATAAAAATGTTATCAGTAAGTTAGATTTTAAAGACTACCTAGTTTATAGAAATTATTTCACTGTTGGGTTCTAATTAACAGTGCTGTTCCTAAAGTGGCTCTGGGAAACAGTAACAAAGCCTACACAGAACACGAGGCGAGATAACCTTGCAGTTGAATCCGATGACACAAAAAAAAAGAATTAATTATTTTCCCCATTTTATAAAGAGAAATTAAATTCAAATTTATTGAGAGTGCAGACAAAAAGCAGGGCTTTTAAACCTTTATATCGATAACGATTTCCAGATAGATCAGTTCATTCTGATAACATGTTTGCAAACTTAGCCCGGAATTTAAATATCAAGGTAGCTTTCCTGTCTAATTTTTATAAGCTTTTCCAGTTATTTTGTACAACTTATTATATTACCCTTTACCCCTGTAAACATTTAAAGGATTAGCACACTTCACACATCTTACTCGAAATTATTTTTTATATATTCATTTCGAACGAAAATACTGAAAAATTTAAATTTTACACTTTACCTCAAATTTTTCCATTGCGGTCCGTTTTAGAGAAATCATGTATAGAATAAAAATTATAGAGAATAATATCGCCAACAACTTTTATTTAAAAACGTTTTCTTAATAAATCGAATTTTGCAGTTTTTGTACAATTCCTTGATTACGGACCATTTTAGGACAATTATGTATAGAACAAAAATTATGGAGAATAACATTACAAGCAACTTTTATTTAAAGAATTTTTTCCTCCAATCGTAAATAACAGGTATATTTCATAAGTTATCTTCAAAATTTGACATTTGTACTTTTTCAAATAGCTCGAAAACAGTCCATTTTAGAGAAATCATGTATAGAACAAAAATTATGGAGAATGATAATTCAAACAACTTTTATTTGAAAAATTTTCTTAAAAATTCGAATTCCGTACTTTTTGTCATATTTTTTGAAAACTGACCATATTAGGAAAATTATGTATAGAACAAAGATTATAGAGAATATAATTATCAGTATCTTTTATTTTCTCCTCCGAGCCTAAATTACATAAAGTAGAAAATTGACCTTCTATAAAGTAAGTACTTTCCCAGATGTTCCGACTATGCCCAAAATCTAATCAGTTCACCTCAGGCCGGAATAAAGCTTAAATTTAAAATTTGGTGTTTTTCTCTGTATCCTTTCATGAGTTATCGATTATACAGAGACATCATCGCGAAAATAGTCAAAACGGATTCCGGGGATCCCAAAGCGTAAAAATCCGTCGAAAACTCGAGGCCGAAAAAAAAAACATGATTTCTATACTTTCCTTATCTGTATACAAACAGGAAAGTAAAAAAATTGAAATGTTCGACCTCGAACTGCTAGAAATAACAAAAAATTCAAATAGCAGTATTGGTTTGTGTTGCTGTAGATCCTCATATTCAAGAGATAGCTAATGAAACTAATATATTCGTACATTTCCATACATGTCCATTTAAGTTACATGTACATCAACGTTTGTTGCCTAGGAACTACCAAATACCTCGTAGATTTTTTTGCATGGTTAACAGTCGCTGAAGAATATTTCATGTCTTCCATATTATGATTGGATGAATCAAGATTTCACAATAATGGAATTGTTAATAGACATAACTGCCACTGTTGGTCTCAAGAAAATCCACATTGATTATGAGAAACTAATTTCAAGTATCATTGGTGTGGTATTGTGAATGGATAAATTATTGGTCCAAAGTTTTATGAAGGCACATTAACTGATGAGCGTTTTCTTTAGAGATTAGACATCGTATTATACAAGATGGAGTTCCACCACATAATCACAGAATACTTAAACAGATCTTTTTCACAGTAATGGGTTGGAAACGATGTCACACATCTTAAATGGCCTCCCATGTCGCCAGATCTGATCCCACTCGACTTTTATTTTTATCCTTGTCTTAAAGAGTGTATTTATAGTGGACTATTAAAAAGTATACAAGCAGAATTCGAATGGAGTGCCAAAGATTAAACAGGGATACTATTTACAGGATATTATGTACCCAAGTTCTTGTTTCGAAAACAAAAGGGCGATATTTTGAACTCTTAATTTAAAAAGTAATATTCTAGAAGTGGTTTATTAAATATTGTTTTAAATAGAATATTTATTTTATAGGTATATTTTTCAAAACAGATATCTGTTTCTTTAAATTTTAAATGGTTGTATTCAAAATAATAATTTCTTAATATAAGCTAGAAAAAAGTATAGCATTTCATTTCAAAAAAAAGTTGCTACATGTCACTTTGACACATTTCACCTTAAAAAAAAGTTTATTTTTTAATTCCTTAGTAAACCAATCAACAAATAATGTAAAAAGTTTTATAACAGTTTTTCAATCAAATAAAAAAGGTCGCAAATACTTATCTTAATCACCCGGTGTATGTATATTTGATTAATTTAACCATACTGTTCAAATATTAAAAGATGAAACAAGGTAATTAAAAGGAGAAATACAAGACTTGTTTAAAAAACGAGTTTCAAGGAAAACCCCTTTGCTAATTTGTGGAAATTTGTATTTTTTAGGTATCTTCTTTTGCATAAGAATAATTCTGACCATGTAAGAGACCCATTCCATAAGTACGCTCTAATTTTACCTCACTCAAGTATCTTCCAATTTTTAGCTCCTTACTGACAGATTGACATATTCACAATAAACCAAGATTGGAAAGTACTAGCCATTCAAATAATATGCACCTCTGTTTTAATTTACTTTTTCCAATTGTCTACTGTATCTGTAAGGCATCATTGGACCATTGTGCATCCTCCAGGAGCATATATAGTTATTCAGAGAACCTTTTGGTTGATAATGTGTACAGTGGTGTATAAAATCATTAATAACTTCAGTAGCAACCCTAAAACAATGTCACTGACATATTTAAAAGAACTGTCACTTATAATTTGTCATAAAAATCACTAAGAACGGCCGTTTTCATTAACTTTCTTATTTTACGGATATTTTTGAAGACTCTATAATCAAGTAATGAACTTTAACTACTCTAGAATGTCTCGCTCTTCCACGGTAGCAAAACATTTAGTTAAACCCATAAAAATTGTTGGATATAAAGTGGAACCATTCTAAAATAACATTTAATTATAATACATCACGTAAATCTGTTATATTTTTTACTATTTCAAATGTTTCTTCCGACCCTGTATAAGTTAACTCAACCCTATGTAGTATAGAAAAAATAGTGACCCACGCCTCTTTGCCACCCGTTAGAAAGTCCGTATGCTCATTTTTTTTAAACGACTGGATATTTACAGGCGAGGTACAATGGGCATTTCTTCATCGAGACTGAGCTCGGCGAAACGCGGGTCGATTCAAACCAGCGGCAATGGTTCCGGGGACGATTCCACCACCCAAGACGAAGCCATGGACGGGGATGACGCTCCCAATTAAACCCATCATTATTTTATACCTTAATTTGTGCCGTTTTATTTTTTATTCATTTTCAAACAAACATTTAACTGCTTTTTACCGAGCGAGTCGCTTCTTGTACATATAATTTTTTTTCTAGTACTTAGCAACGTATTTATATTTGTTTAGATTAAGGTTGATTTAATTTTGCTGATTATACTATACACTTTTATTTTATTTCGATACTAAGAAGTAGCTTGTCGAGGTGGGTATTAAATTCGTACTATATATACAAGGGCTTTCAAAAAATAAACTGTTGAATTTGTCTTTAACTGAAATGGACGCTAATCTAAACAATTATTATTTACAAAAAAGAGGCCAGAAGCATTTATTTAATATATAGGGCCTACCATTTAATGGATTTCTTGGGGACACGGATGCATGCTTATAAAAAAAATGAATCCGTGAATATTTTTTTAAACCGATTTAAGTTAGCTTTTTTTTTATTTAACAAATTTCTAATAATCTTTATATTACGCATTTTGTTCCGTTTGTAGTATTTTATTATTTATGCATTTTTTTATAACCTGATGACAAGTATTTTTTTAAAAAGCAACTGCAATTGGTTAGTTATTTGTGTACCAGTTTTGCATTATCTATCAAGTATATATGAATTTAATAGTCAATAATGCTAATAATATATAAATATTTAAAAAAACTAGCAAATTAACCTTTTGATACACATTATATTTTGTAGAGTATATATTTTGTAAAGACATCTATTTTAGTCCGACATGATTTTGATATGCATGTTTTTGTATAAACAATTTCTTGCATTTTGTAAATATCTTAAGCATAATTGTGGGGGTTCAGGGCTCATTTCATTATTTTTACCGAGTTAAATAAAATTATATATAAATAAATGAAAGTTTATTGAATACAAAACCCAAACCAATCCTGATTTCCTTGCAACCAAAAATCCAACGAGGATCTATTGACGCCTATTTTGAAAGTGTCAAAGATGTTAGAACTACGGGCCCTAACAACTATATGTGTTGGGACGCAGTGAAGTTTCACATACTAGTTACGCTACAGATACAAAAGTCTAAATGGGCACATCAAATTTATACATAAATATAATAATATGAAAAGAAAAAGATACAATATATAGCAGATTATTTTTAACAAAAAAAGACTACAAGCAATATTATACTTCGAAAAGTTGCCAACCAATTAATTGCTTGGGGACCATAATTTGTTTAGTGTAGAGTTTCATAATTGTTGTTGCCTCGTATGTCTTGTTGAGACCAAGAAATATATCATGCCAAGTAAGTAATAACATCACTGTCAATTTATAATTTAGTAATTTGTATTCGCTCAGTGCGAAGTCGTGGTAGGGGAAGCAAAAGCGATACTAGCGCTAGCTGCGGATAATTCGTGCATTTTAGGACGATATTTTGTAATTTTGGCATATCAAGTACACGTATACATTTTACTTTAAAAAAAAAACAGCTAAAACAATACAATAAGCAACCAGAGTTGCTGTGTTGAAAATTGTAAAAATACTAGCAACAAAAACAGTGAAAATTTTAAAAAATTTCGGTAGCAAAGTGGAAATTACATCAAAGAAATAAATTATATTTACATAGTAATAACATAATTATATGTAGTCTTATAGTATTAACAAATAGACATATAGGGTGAGATTACAGAACGTCTGCAACTTTGCAGATCTGCAAATATGGCGGACTTACAAATGCAAGTATTCCAAAAAATATCTGCAAATTCGCAATATTTATTGTGGTTTATTACCCCCAACAACACTAAACCCAAATTTGGAATACGAAAACTTGATACTTGCATGTGTAAGTCAGTCATATTTGCAGATTTTCAAAGTTGCCGCCATATTTCCAGATCTGCAAAGTTGCAGACGTTCTGTAATCTCACCCATAAATAATTACAAAGAACAAGAGAATTAAAATATAAAAAAAAAATAATGAGAAATCCAAACAAAATAGGTAAACAATAACATGTGTAGGCCTTTCCATAAACGTTTCTCATTTTTTTTTTATTCTGCAAACTAGATAAAAATGCTGCTTTTTCCCTCCTAATTGAGGCCAGATCATAATTTCGATATTCCTTATAAAATGCCTCCAGTTTTTAGGTGTTCTGTTACATTTAAATTTAGATAATGCCTTATTCCCTTTCCTTGAGAATTAACTTTAAATTATCAGTAAGCCAGGGAGCTGGTGGTTTACTGACTCTTGATTTTTACCAAGGGTACATGTTCATTGAAAAGTATAATTATATTGTCAGTTAAGAAGCTGACCTTGTCAATATTATCAATAAAGAATATACCATCCCAGTAAATTGCTTGTAAATCACTTTCAAATTTTTCAATATTTAGGTTCTTAAATTTCTTTTAGTAGTAAATTTATTAATAGATATATTTAGTGTGCAATGAGGCATCATATTATGATTATTCTTAGTCTTTACAAGAAATCGCTTGAAAGTAGTGACATTTAACATTTTTCGAGAAAACAGAATTATTTCTTATATACGGGGTCTCGGCTAAAAGATGAAGCGATTTTTCTGTATATTAAGTCAAATTTGGTCTAAAGTGTAAGTGGTGTCATTTCTTGAATGACGATATTATACATGTGTACATGACAATAAATCCTACGTGATTTTATTTATTTATTTGTGGGTAAGCCCATTTATGTTACAATTTTTAAAAATGACATTGATGTATTTTGAATGTTGTACTTAAATCTATTTACAGAAGAATCAAATGATATAATATCGCTGATCCGGTAAAACAATGACGTAAGTGCAAAATTATAACATTTTTACTTTAGCATGTCATTAGTTTCCAAATTAATCTCTTTATACGATATAACTGAGTAATTTTATATCCACTTGAGGCTGCTAGATGGTAGTTGCGTCAGTTTTCAAATATTAACGTTTGCCCCACCACTTTTGGAAAACCAATGACACATGAATATCAGTTATGTCAGAAACTTTATGGGATATGTTACTTACTTGGTGGTTAAATGACGTATTTGCTATTTAGGAGAAGTTGTTTGTGATTGAATCGAAATAATGTGAAAAAAAGCACCTGAGTACAAGTAAAATGAGTGACAAAAAATATCAAAGCAAGATTTACGTCGTTCCAGATTGTAAAACAGCAGTGGCGGTTTTCCCGTAAGGGCACTTGGGCACGTGCCCTAGTATAATAAACAAAAAAAAATAACGTACATGTTTTATATTTTCCGCAATGCCTATTATTATTTTATCTAATATTCAGCCCAAACCGCGTTGGCACGACACTGGACGACCGGGCGCTGAGCGACGTTCCGAGAATTCCAAAATTAAGTGGGAGGGCACAGTAAATGTGTGCCTCTGTTGTTTTCTCTCTCATTATGATGCGAAAAACAAGGACAACGACAATATCGCTTAGCAAGAGATGAAACACTTGCGATGGATTATACGTCACAAGCAGGGCGCTGTCATCATTGTGACGCTGTACCCATGGCACAGATTACCTAGACCAGATACGAATGTACGCAGCGGCATCTTTACCGGCGATGCCGGTTTTGGCTAAAGGTGCGCGTTTGTTGGACCATGATAATAATTTATTTATTGTGATTACGAAAAAACGTTAGTTGGACCATTGGAATAGTTAAAAAATAAAACTACAAAGAAAAATAACTTTTTTTTTTATAAAGCAGTCAAAAATATGATGGAAAAAAATCAATAATAATTATAAATGGGACAAAATTTTAATTTTTCTTTTGGTTTTGTCTTACTAAATAGCCACATACATAGCTCCCTGTAGTCACATTCAGAAATCGTTATTGCCCCCAACTGATTGTTTTGAAATATATTTAATTTTCATTAAGCGGAGAACTTGTTTTCCTAAGGGAAAAACGAATCCCGGGATTCCTTTCCAGTGTGTGCCCCACTGCCGCTAGTGCCCACGAGCCGCCACTGTAAAACAGGATACAAATCAAATTTTAAACTGAAAAAACACAAGGACAAATCAATTCGATGTCTTTTTTAATGTTAGATAAAGAGTTGCTACTGTTATTTTTTTGTTGACCCCTAATTGTGTTATTGTAAATGTTTTTATAGGATGCTAAACGCTTACAACTGTGTCAGCATATATATCGTCCCTAGTGCCGATAAAGCACTTTCTAGAGATGATGCTGTTCTATACTTTTTAGAAGACTTCAAATATTATGAGACTATTTTTACAGATGGTACTGTTAGCAAAATAAAAAAGGGGAAAGCTAAAATTAAAGGATGAGGTAATACCATGTACATTCCCAAATCTCCCTTTATACTTGTGTTACAACAATAAAAAAATCTGTTCTGTGTTTTATTATGCTCTTAAAACTATATATAGGTTCAATTCAAAAAAAAATTTGCGACAAAATTGTACTTTGGTCATACCTACCAAATTTGTATTTTATATTGATAAAATTAAATAATTTATCAATTAAAACATGCAAGACTTATTTAGAAATAAATACAACAGTATGGTTCTGTGCTTTATTTAGCTATATGTATTTTGAACACCGTAAGCAGTACTAGCGCCCATGCGGTTAATTATAAAAGCTCAATTAGCTTGCGTTTTTAGGGATCATATTTTGAGTATGCCGATTCGCCTCTTTATCTCCAGTCTTCATATTTGTGATTCATGTGCCTCAATCTCCTGAAAAAGTTATAATTTTGTATTTACGTCATAAAGGAATATAAAATATTTGTGTTTGCCTGGTATTACGAGTAGGAAGAAAAAGATTAATTTTCGATAGAATTTCAGGACAATCATCTCTTCCATTAACAATATTACAAAGTAAGATCAGGTCTCTATGTTTTCTTCTGGTTTCCAGAGAGGGTATCTTTAAAAAGTGCTCCATTGTAGTATAATCATAAAAAGTTTGTAATTTAAAGGCTATGTACCTTAAGGAAATTGTTCTAAACACGATCGATTTTTAATTTATATGTTACATGATGTGGGGACCAGATAGAAGAGCAATAATCGAGGTGACTCCTAACTAAAGTACAATAAAATTTTAATAGCAGTTACATCAGAGAAGTCGTCCCAACATTTTCGTAGATTTACTTATAATTGAAGAGATGTGGTGATTAAAGCTAAGATTTGTGTCAAAAATAACTCTAAGATCTTTAATTTGTTTAACTTTACCTTAAAGTTGACTATTGATTGTGTAGTAAAATATAGTGAAACTGTTGAGAACGATGGACTCGAATAATGTGACATTTTCCCACATTTAAATCCATGCCGTTGTATTTGCACCAATCAGATAAATTATTAATATCAGAAATTTCTAAAGAAAAATTTTAGATCTGCAAAAACTAAAAAATTACTGTGCCGAAAACAGGAAGTTACATCGCTAATAAATACATTAAAAAAAGGGTCCCAGATGGGAACTCCACAAATAACAGAGTAATGATGAGAATAGTGGCGTTTTACTTTGACTATTTGAGTTCTATTAAGAAATATCCAAACCGTCAGTCATTCCATGGTTGCCAGAGCATTATTATTATCAGTCTACCTACAAACTGAAGCTGCACAGTGAACTAAAGAAATTCGAGGGAATATTATGACGTGCTATGCGCTGGTTCAGTGATAATGTAATTATGGTTCCACTGACAAAGTGACAGTAGATTTTTTGAGTGCGTTTTGTTTACCTAAATTATATCGTTTTTTCACTTTCATAAATATATTCCCAAAGTAAGTAGATAACATGCATCAAATATACAATCGTTTAGTTACCAATTTACATACCTTTCAACTATTTTGATGACCTGTAAACAATATTTAGAAATAAACTAACTAAAAACAGTAAAAACGTATATGTCAAATTTATTGATGTTTTTGTTAAAAGTTTGGTTAGAATTAAATGTCAGTGGAACCAAAATAACATCACACTGAACTAGCGCATTGAAGATGAATTCAAAAATATATATTACAAATCTTTTAATTTTACAATAGAACAAAAAAACCGGAAAATTTGAAAATTGAAATTTAATCTTACCAATAAAAAAATTGTATAAAATTTAAAAATATAAATGGCAACAAAAAATAGCACATACAATAATATATAGTAATAAAAATATTTAATAATCGGGATATCCGGGAAGGGGGAACTTTTCACTGTATTTCGAAACTTCGTCTCTCAAGGTTGCTACTTTTTTAGCGACGTCGCTGTTCTCGTGAATGGTTTTCTTGAAATCGACTAATTTGGGTCCGGAGATCTTGCTAACTTCTTTAGCCAATTTGAGGGCTCTGTCAATGAAATCTACTACAACATCTATGTCGCTTTCCTTTAAATTACGTGTAGTCAAGGCTGGGGTACCTACAAAAAAATAATGTTTAAAGAAAACATAACAATTGCTGTTTTATTTATTACTAATGGCCACAAGGTATTCAACGATCCAATTTCTGCATATTTTTGGTAATAAAAGGGACAATTTGCATGTATTGCTATACACATTTCTAATAATTTGTCATTATCAAGTATATTAAAAAATAAGCAGGTAATTTTTCCATTTTCTTTACTTTTCTATTTTAATGTTTGTATTTTTTTTTTTCTCTTCTGTGTTACTTTATGTATGATTTGTATATTAATGTTAAAACAAAGTTAAACCTGTACATTTTATTTTATTCTGTTTTTACTAGACGTGACCTATACACTGTAAAAAATGCCATACAAAATAAAATTCTATCTAATATCCTTTCTATATACTATATATCTTCTTACTGATGAAATAGCTGCTTCCTTCAAATCTTATATCTCCCCCTTTCAGCATGGTTTTTATCAGGGGCGTTCTACCGCTACTAACCTTTGTTGTTTCCAGGACTATCTATTAACCTTTGTGGAAGCTGGGCACCAGGTGGATGCAATTTACACTGATCTGTCTAAGGCCTTTGATAGTGTCTCTCATCAACTGCTTTAAAAAAAAACTCTCCGAAATAGGTATTGCTGGTAACTATCTCAATTGGATAAAATCATACCTAACTAATCGCTCCCAACAAGTTTCTATTCATAATTTTACATCACGGAAAGTATCAGTTTCATCAGGCGTTCCGCAAGGCTCACACCTTGGTCCTGTCCTGTTCTCACTTTTTATTAACGACGTAACTTCCTGCTTTTTAAATAGTACTTGTCTTCTATATGCAGCTGACTTGAAATTTTTCAGCACAGTCACACATAACAATACTGCCCTTCAAGGTGATCTAGAGAGACTAAACGAGTGGTGCAAGGTGAACCATCTCTCATTAAATACCAGTAAATGCAAGACCATCCAGTTCACTAGAGCGTTAACCCCTTCTCTAAATCAATACAAAATCGGTAATACTGTACTGCAAAATGTCACATCTGTGAATGATCTAGGGGTGATATTTGATATGATATCCATTATCTGTAAAGCTTTCCGGATGCTAGGTAGGCTTTATTAAAAGAAATACTCAACATATGTATGATACTAAAGCAATCTTAACATTATTTAACAGCCTTGTTAGAAGAATTCTTGAATATTGATCTGTTGTATGGCATCCTAATTACACCTGCCACATAGAGAGGATAGAACGAGTTCAGCTTAAATTCACTAACTATTTGCTGTTTAAACACCACTTTCCCTACCAAAACGTTGGTTACGAAAGTAGACTGCTTTTATGTGGTATGCAAAGCCTAGAAATCAGAAGAAGACATGCACTAGTTCTGTTTCTGTTTAAATTAATTAACGGTAAGATTGACTGTAGCGCCCTTTTACACTTAATTAGCTTTTTGGCACCTACTCGACGTACACGTCATACTTCATTGTTTTTCATCAGAAGACATAGAACCAACTATGGACAAAGAGCATTTATTGACCGTATGTGCCACATTTACAATAAGCTTTACTCCGACTGTGACCTATTTAACACAACGTTGTATGCGCTAAAGAGTAATTTGAAACTGTCAAAATATTTTTTTTTTTTAGCTTTAATATTTAAACCGATTTCTATGTATGCGATTTTGTGAATGTGATATTTTTGTGTAGGTATTCTACATACATGTATTAATTGTTATATATATTTTTTTTAACTCTGTACCATTTAGAATAATAATTCTGTAGTGTACCTATTTGAATAAATAAAAATAAATATTGATAAATCTAGTTCAAATTGTATAAAAAAACTAACAAAAATAGAACAAAAACCTAGTCTAGCAAGAACAAATAATAAACTAATTTGTAACACTCACCCAATCTAATTCCTGAAGGATTAAGAGCGCTCTTGTCTCCTGGAACTGTGTTTTTATTACAAGCGATATTGATTTCCTCTAAAATATATTCTCCCTTGGCACCGCTTAAACCAACAGATTTCAAATCGACCAATAACAAGTGCAATTCTGTTCCACCAGTAACTACTTTATAACCTTTTTGTTGAAGACCATCACTGAGTCGTTTGGCGTTAGCAACGATTTGTTTCGCATATTCCACGAATTCGGGAGTCTGAGCCTGCTTCATGGTTGTCGCTATGGCAGCTATAGCATTGTTGTGTGGACCACCTGAAATAAAGTGGTATAAATAAATTTAATTTTCCTATGACCACTTAGGAAAGTGACACATATTGAAATAAAACAAGGAATGGATAGAATGTAAAGAAAGTTTTCTGATATTTTTGATAGTTGCTTTTAGAGAGAGAGAGAGAGATTGAGCCATTTTTTTTTTCGGAAAGTACTGAATAAAAAGTAAGGCAGACGAACTTTATACATTTTTAAAATCATGCTTCAGACATTTTTCATTTGACCAGAATTAATTTTATCCAATTTTTAATTTGCCCCTTCCCCAAAACTGACCATCCAAGATAAATATTTTCATACAATCTACAACTTAATCTCAATGTTCGTAATTTTTCTGAGCGTTACTTTAAGAGATAGCCAATTTTTAATGCTTTTTAGAAAAATTTTTAAATAAAAAGTATGACAAATGAACGTATTTTTAGAATCATGCTTCAAAGATACCCCACACGATGGCATCAGAAAAAAATATTTTCTTACTTCAAATTTAAATCCCCAAACTGACTCTGAAGTAAAAAAGATCCACTTTTTTAGTTAACGACGGTATTTGGGTCATTACTTCCTAGCTTCCCACAACTGTTTCAAATAGCCTATGTGTAAAAAGCTTGTAACAGACACCAATGTGATTCCATAAGTGTTCTTTTTTGGCGAATATGGGCCAGAACACGAAAAAGTTATGTAAAATATTAAAAACAAATATCTGTTACTAAGGGGTCCAATTTATCGAAAAAAATATTATCAAGTTTTGAAATTTTATCCAAAGTATACACTAATATATTTTTGTTAAACAAATATTATTTTCAAGTTCGTTTCACTAAGTCAATATGCAATAATTATCTCATTACGACAAACAATTTGTTAATGTTGAAATACAAATCAGAATTACGACACAAACGTCATACCAATTACGTTGATAAACAAATCGTGCAAAGATAAATATATTTTTAAAACTAATATGTGTATCTTATTTTCGAGGGTGTGTAATAAGTTCAAAATAGAATCTTAATCATTGTAAGAGCAATTTTTGAGCCTTGCAGAAATACTTTTAAAGAAAATAATACCTTGACCTGTACAGGTATTCTGCCTGTATAAACAACAATCAAAGATTTAATTGATATTTATAAGCATAATACAAGAAATAAAATTGACATACTTACCAGAACTCACCATAAGAAAGCACCATTTTATGATAGGCCTGTTACCAAGAAGGGAAGAAATAACAGAAAATTCAATATTGTCTGAAGGCTCTTTTTAATAATTAAAGGCCATTTTTAAAATTTTAAGTAAAAATTCAAATTATTATTTAAACAAAAATCAAATCAGAACGTTTTTCCAGTTCAAATTCATCAAAATTTAAAAATATACGCAAATAAAGGGTAAATAAATATATTTTCTATAAGTTTTATAAATAGTATGAAACCTACCTTGCAATCCTGGGAATACTGCTTGGTTTATCTTATTTTCGAGATCATACATAATTTTTTCACCCTTGGCATTTACGGATCGGACACCCTTCCTGAAAAATATGACACCAGCCCTTGGACCACGGAGACTCTTATGTGTAGTTGTTGAAACAACATCACTGTATTCAAACGGACTTGGAGTAACACCTAAAAACAAAATTACTTTTGATTTGGATCCATTGAAATGTTACGACCAATATAAATTAAATCAATGTTGCCATTATTTAAAATTACATTACAATCGGGGACCTTGCTGCAAGAAGGGGAGCAGCTCCATTTTTGTTAACTTTTTGGAAATAAGAAAAAAATGTCTTGTACAAATTGGGGATTGTTTTAACAAAAATAAAACATATTTACATGTAACTTTTCTTGGTGATATATCTTTGTTTAAAAAAATTGAAGTGGCCCCCTTTGGCACCTAAGTTAAAAAAAGACACTCTGCACATAAAGTAAAAACAGTATCTATTTATTATCGCAGAGCTTGTTTCTTACCCAATTGATAAGGACTAATATTTTATATAAAGTACATAAAATTAACTCAAATTTTACCAAAAATGGAGTTGCTCCCTTCAGATTATTTATTTTGTGATAATGAATAATTCTATTCTTAAAATGGACCTCTAATTTTAGCCATGACAATATTTCATATTCAATTTTGGCAATCACTTTTATAATTTTTTGGTATCTCTCTTATTTAGTTCCGACTGAGTGATTTTTAAAAGGAATTATACTTTTTACTTGACTTTTTCAAACCATTAACCAATGTCACGTATTTCATTATTTTTAGTTATCAATAATAAATTTTTCAAATAACCTTAAGAAATTATTAAAAAAATATTCCTTATCATTCGTAAAATAACTAAGTTTTAATAATAATTCCTCATAGTGGCATGGTATGAATGAATATTTATTACATATGCTACTTACATTTCTACAATTCAAAAACGTGATATATGTATAATAAAAATTAAATTTATGTGCATATTCAAAAGAAATTAATTTTTAACTACATAGTAAAAGTATACAAGCTGGATTCTATTTTTTTTATGGAATTAGAACAATAAGTAAATATCTAAAGAAGCAACTAAAATCCTGATTTTGAGGAGGTAGTAAAATATTTTTTAGGGAAGTAGTCTAGATATACAAAAAAAAACTTTATTACTAAAAAAAAAAAAACAAGTACTAAGAACCATTAATAAAACATACAAGGTTTCCAGAAATTGAGTGTACATGGAGCTACTTTTTCTTTAATCTCCGGATTTATTATTTTTAAAGAATTAAAAGCAGCAGGAACATTTTTCTATTGCGATCATAAGTGCCTCAGTAGGGTCAGGGACAAACATTTTCCTAATTTTTTTTTTGACATTTTTTGCTTAAAAATTTGAAACTATTCGAGAAAGTTTCTATTATTGACAGAATAATTATTATTAATAAAAAGTATCCTTACCTGCTGCCACTAAACCAGAAATATGAGCCATATCTGAAAATAGATAAGCCCCTACTTCATCGCAAATTTCTCTAAATTTCTTATAATCTAAAGCCCTCGAATAACAGCTAACACCAGCAACGATCACTTTAGGCTTAAACAGTCTTGCAGTTTCTAATAGTTTATCATAATCTATTAGGCCAGTCTCTGGGTTTACCTATAAGTTACAAATAATAATAATAACAATTTAAAATATTAAAACAGATTGCTTTACCTTGTATGGCATTGATTCAAAAAATATAGATGTGGCAGAAATTTTTTTAGTTGGTGTAAAGAAACCATGAGTTAAATGTCCACCATCAGGTAAGTCCAAACCCATAATGCGACCATGCGGTTCCACAATACCTTAAAAATGTTTTTTAGCATCACAAAACTTTTTTTATCAATAAATAGATGTTTGTCGAAAAATCCTTTGTGAAATTACCTGTATATACTGCAAAATTTGCAGGTGATCCTGAATATGGTTGTACATTGACTCCCCATTTTTCAGGATCTACTTTAAATGCTTCTAAAGATCTTTTTTGGGCTAATATTTCGATTTCATCTATGAATTCATTACCTCCATAGTATCTGAAGAAAATTCAAAATGTCATATAAACATTAAAAAAAGTTTAACTAAGAATTTTATTATTTAACCAACCTATGCACTTTTTACAAACTAAAAGTCGTTTAAACAATAATACAGTATCACTAGAAAATTACAGTACTGAATCGAAAATATATATTCTTGCGTGTATAGAAATTGGCCCACTGTAAACTTTTAACTTTAACTATATTTTTTTAAAAAATTATTAAACAACATTACTGTTATTAATTAATTATTAGACAACATTAAAGCATATTAAATTGTCTTTCAAACAGCATATTTTTTTGATCTGATGAATAATTAAAAAAAAAAATATAGTTAAAGTCAAAAGTTTATGGGCCGATTTCTATGCACACAAGTGTATATTGCTCACCTATAAATATTAACAGATTTATCAAAGATGACAAAGTTAGTGCCAATATTATAATAGCTAATTATAAGCTTTATATGTCCACCATTATGTTGGATGCATAGCTCAAGACGGTCTTGTCTTGGAGGTTTCATAATGCTGGGTGCATTATTTTTGCTGAACTCATATGAGTCATTATAAACTTTACATATAAAAAAATGTCTTTGGCTGTAAGCATCTTGTTCACAGACAGTGTTGTATACCATGACAGATAGATAACAAGTTAGAAACTCTGATAAGAGTTACAATTTCGGAAGGTATATTTCTGTAATGGGGTTGGAATGAAAATTCGATAGGAGTGGAAGCCACAGGTATCAGATTTTTATTTCAACAGAGCAACAGACTGTACTTTCTCCACGGCCACAAACACAGGAGAAGTTGAATGTAGTAAAATGAAATCTTTATTTTATTTAAAACATATGTTAAGCAATTTTTTAATTAAATCATTCACATAATTTGTCAAAATCATTATATACACCCATTTATGAATTTAAGTTCAATTTAACAAATGCTGATTATCTTTAATTCAAACTAAATAATAATACATCGCATAGGACTGCCAATCATGAAATTCATGGCTCTACGATGCGGGCGTGATATTCACAGCCATTGGCCAGTAGCTATTACAGAATGAACATTCTGCCACTAGAGTTAGAATAAAATACTTGCAAAATACATTTATTTGAGAAGAAGAAGAATAAACATTTTATAATGCAAAATCAAATAAATTTACAATGAGAAATTATTCTTAAAATATGCACCTAGATGCAAAAACATAAATATATAAGACTAGGTATTTATAACAAATTTGAGAGGTATATATATTTATCAAATATAAATTTTCTGATCGCTTTAGAAAAGGTTTCTATGTTTTTTATTTGTCTGATATTTTCACTTAAAGAGTTGTATACTTTTGGCCCAATTGAAGAAATGAATCTTTTATTTCCATCATATTTAAAGAATGGTACATTTAGCATTCTTCTCTTTTGTTTTCAGGTCATATAAGAGTGGTTTACAAAAATTTTATTTTTCAGTTTGAAATAGAACATACAGCTAGAGTGAAAGTATAATGATCTTACGTTTGGAGTGGATTCGTTGCATAAGAGGGTTGTTGAAAACAAACGACTTTTATGATTTATTATCTTTGATATAATTTTGAATGATACTTAAAGGATGTAGGGCATTGTCATATAAACCACCCAATAAATACAATTATGCCATATCTAATTAAGGATTCAATGAGAGCAATATATATCAAGTGTAATAACTTTTTATTTAGAATGTTACGAATTGAATAAAATTTAATAAAAGTTTTCTTATTTTGTTTGTTAAGTACTGAACATGATCAGTCCATTTAAGATTTCTGTCAACTATTATTCCCAAATATTTGGCATTTTCCACTTATTTGATGATGAATTTGGAATCTTCAATACAAATCTGTTTGAAGTTAGGCATTTTTATTGACAGGATTTAATGCCATTGAGTTGTAGAGGTGGACATATCTTATTAGGAAGTCATCTACAGAATTGATTTTAGTTGCCATATCTATACCAATTTTTGAAAAATAGTTATTGCGGTAGTTGGCCATTTCTTTATCATTTGTAAATTGTTTATTATTGTTTAGAATATTAAAATCATTGTTTTTTTTATTATTTCGGTGTTCATTTGAAGCTTCTTTAACTATTTTAAATATTTTTTTAATATCATTGTTACTATTTTGAATTTGAATTGTATAAAAATCATTTTTAGCTTTATTTATTTTTTTATTTAGTTGGTTACGATATATCCTATATTAGAAGATTGTTGTTTTTGGTTTTTAATATTTGCTTTTTCATTTTATCCTTATTTTTAATAGACATGATGATGCCTTGACTTATCCATGGTTTTATTTTTTATAAGTAATATGCCTATTAGTTATATTACATTGTTCTTTTAGGAAATATATTATTTCAATAAATTTCTGGTAGGCCAAAATTGGATTGCTAAGAGAAATGACGTTGTCCCAGTTTACATTTTCTAATAATTTTGTAAATCTATCTATATCACTGTATTGTGTTGTATGTTGGTTTAATGTATTATGGTTAAAGTTTCTTTCCTTTGTTGTAATATTTAAAAAAAAAATTGGAAAATGATCAGTTAGATCAGTTTCAATTACCAACGATTTAAATGAAAAATTTCTACAGTAACCCTGGTGTATGAATTAATATATGATACAAATCCCAAGGAAGATAACATTGCCAAATATCTATTTGTTATTTGGTTTGAGGGATCAAGGATATTAATGTCACCAATAAATATATCCATTCCTGGCCTTCTTGGTATAATATTTAAGAAATTTTCAAAATCTGTAAGAAATGTATCATCTGATATGGATGGAGATTTATAAAAAGGCATTACTGTATAGGGCACACCATTTATGACTAAATGTTATTGAGCTTATCGTTACATTTGATAGAGGCAACTTTGTATAATTAAATTATCAAGTTCAATAACATTACGTGTTTCTCCTAATATTATTATATCCAAGTCCTTCAAACCAAAAGTTTTTAAAAATACTAAAAAGTTGTCAAAATTTTTTTTATACTTCTAATATTCAAATGCAAAATTTTTATTAAGGTTGTTAAATGATTATTGCAATTGATAATATTTAAAAAATTGTCTAAGTCATAATGAGAATTTTTATTCAATTCAATCTCATTTTCTTCATTTTCAATCTCATTAAAAATATTTAGTTTTGCTATATCCATAAAAGAGAGAAAGATTATTTAAATTGTAGAAAATTAGTAAAAACTATTATAATGTTGAGATTAAATTAAAAAAAAAAGAAAACAAAGATAAGAAATTCATTTTCACAATAGGTTGTTTTATTTTTAAGAACCTGTTTGAAATATTTCAGAGTATTACACTCTGAATGAGTGGCGTAGTGATCAGTTGGATAGTTGGATTTAAAATTAATATTTGAATTCTTACAATTAGCACAACACACTTTAGTTTTAGGACAGTTTTCTCTTAGATGTTCTTCAGCACAAAGAGAATAAACAATTTTTTTTGTACAATTTTGTTTATTATGGTAATATCCTTGACACTGATAGCATCTTGGTATGTCAAGGTCCTCATACACTGTGTCCTTCCATAAGATGCAAGTGTTTCAGAATTTTCTTTCAATCTCAAGAGCAATAATGTTATCCTTTTATTATTATAAGTAGAAAAACCACATTCAGTAGTGGCCCTGTAGAAAAGAGCAGTCTTGTCATAAATAATTTTCAATATCTTCTTCTAAAGAATATTGACAGGATTTATGTAATGGCAGGAGCATCCCAACCTAGAATATTCTGTACTCTGGACTCTAGTTATTTCGAAATCCTTTTGTAATCGTTTTTAAGTCTACCTCAGCTTTATTTTTCAGCGAATAAATTATTAATCTAGATCAAAGACAATAGTGGTCCAAGAATTGTACCTTGTGGGACTCAAAATTAAATTTTCCCTACTAATGCTATTTCTGATCTTAACTATTTGCTTCCATTCATCTAATAAATTTTTGAATAGATTTAACATTACACCACAAATACCATTGTTATATTATTATTATTATTATTATTGTAAATAATGTATGTAAGCCATTTACTTTTCTATAGAACTTTAAATGAAATAAATTCTATAAGAACTAAGAGCAGCATTTTTTAATAATCAAATCAATTCTTACCGTTGCCCTGGAAGCCCTTCCGAATATTTATTATGCAAACAGGAACTTAGACACTGTAATACTGGCAATGTAGTGAAGTTCTCAGAGGCAATCATTTCCAGCCCAGTCACCTGTCTCCTCTTTTCCTTTTTCACAAGGTCCCATAACTCTGGATCTGTGTCCCAAACGTTGGCATTTAAAGTTTTGGATATATCCATGTTTGTGCTAATAGCCCTCGGTAATTGTGAAAATAACACTTTTTGAACCTGTGGTCGAAAAAGACATTTTAATCTTTTCATTTCTAAAAAGCTAGTAACTAGCAGCTAGGTTAAATGTATACTAACCTCAAATATTTGAATAATTTGTTCACTACAGAATAATGAATATAATTATGATAAAGAACAGAAGTAGATTGGTTTATATATTCAAGTATTACAGTATAGAAATGAAATAGAGTACATTAAAGAACTTTAATGTTAATAAATTGATAAATGATTGATAACCTATCGTAAATGTATAATTCAAATATGGGGTCAAATTTATTGCCAAAGAGGTCGTGTATCTACAAATCCAACGAAACAAATCAAAGATAAGTAATATTAAAAATATTTTTCAACCTTATTTTCTCAGAAAAACAGTAAAAAAATCACGTAAAAAAATATTTAAAAAACGAAATTCCTTTGACTTACCTTGGCACACTGCAACAGGTGGCAGAATTTGAAAGTCACGCGGGAAATCATGTTCATTCAAATAGTTGGAATTATGAAATAATTATGAAGATTGTTTTGTTAACTTATTTTTAAAAATAATGTTTATCGCTAGGACGTTGCAAAACGTTATTTAAATATTTTTGAGCTCATTAAACATTGCTGGGGGTATGTAAACATTAAAATTGTATCGAGCGATAATTATATATTTTTATTTTTTTATCAATTACTATGGCATTCATTATTACGATTGTGGCAATTAATTTCAAATAGATTGAATTCTAAAATACATCATTATCAAATCGAATACCTATTTGGCAAATCAAAAAAGTAGCCAATAATAATTTTGTGTTGAAGAATTAGACGATTACAGTGTGTAAAATATATAGAAATTTTTATTAAATTCAGGCGACCGCTTTTTGCTTTACAAAGCCTCCCAAAAAGGTGTTATTAATTTACAATGCAATACGTAACACTAAATTGATTAAATTAATTTTTATTATATTATTCACCACGGCTCAGCAATACCAAATAGTCGTCATTCTCTCGGCCTGACACCGGCATGTACGGGAAGCCGAGTACTCGGATTGACGTTGTCGGGGTTGCTTCTGAGCCGAGAGGACGTCGTAATTTAGAAGTAGAAACCGTATGTGGTCCATATTTGGCTTTTCAGACATGGGAGGCACCCTTACGAGCCGAACGCGGTGAATATTTTGGCTAGCCGGGCATGGGAGTCATCCTTACAAGCCGAACAATATATAGATATACAGTGTGGAAACCACTTATGGAATAAAATTCTTTGTCATTATTTTAGAAAATTATAAAAAATGCCGAGACATGTCAACTTTTGAATTGAGTTGTGCGTTATGTAAACATAAATTTAAATGTACAGGGTGATTCACGCAAGTATGCCATAGTCGGTGTTGTTTTTTTTTAATGAAACACCCTGTATATTTGCATACATACATTATTCAGTTTGTTGGAATCGGTTCATTAAGAGGATTTCAAAAATATGCAAATATACAGGGTGTTTCATTAAAAAAAACAGCACCGACTATGGCATACTTGCGTGAATCACCCTGTACATTTAAATTTATGTTTACATAACGCACAACTCAATTCAAAAGTTGACGTGTCTCGGCATTTTTTACAATTTTCTAAAATAATGACAAAGAATTTTATTCCATAAGTGGTTTCCACACTGTATAAACGCGGCTACAATATAGTGGGCTGCTGACATTCGGTTGGGCGGACATGCCCTCCCTATGTATGCCGAAGCTGCACCCGTATATCGTGCCGAGTCCGGCATCCGGCAAGGCCTCCTTTGGTCCAGTTACGGTGCCGATTAACTCTGTGTTTATTAGGATCCTTTTATTATGATAGGGTAGATGAGCCAGTGGTCGGACAGTTAGAACAAAACTTTACTTTAAGATTTAATTATATTTTCGATAATTTGGATAATAAAAGTAAAACCGTATGCAATGGATTATTTGACTATCTGGCCTCCGATTAAACATAACAGCTTGTTTTGTAAGCCTACTGCTAATTTTTATTTATTTTTTAAATTAAAAATGTACCATTTTGCCTGTAGTCGGACACTGTTTTCTAGTGGTCGGCCAGGTACTTGCCAGTAGTCGGACGCACTTTGATTGGTCAATTCCGCACAGTTCCGTATTTTATGTTTTCTAAAATCTGAATGCAAGGTTATTTAGGTAGGTAACTATTTATTTGGAAACTTTAAAAGTGCTAAATTTTGCGAACTGTCTAACAATCAAATATTATGTAAAAATTAAACAGATATGATTATTGAAACAGAAAACACATTTTAATAGAAAGATAAAGGTTTTTATTAGTAAGTATTAAAAAAGTAGGAACTAAATTCACATTGTTTGTATCTAAAATTATAAAACAAAATTTCAATTTTTCCTCTTTAACAATTTTTTGAACTGTGTCCAGTAAAACTTGCTTTTTTAACGGAAATCGGGACTTTGCTAGATTTTCAATCCAAGTAACCAATTTTTTTTCAATTTCCCTGGTTAACACAGGATCTGGTCCCATCTGTTTACTAAGATCGCTAACTTTTCCTTTAATACGGTCCTGTACTGTTGATTTCGGAACCCCATACTGCCTGCATATTTCACGCAATTTCCCCCCGTCTCGAATGGCTTCGACTGCCCTTTTTAAGGAATCTTCATCGTATTGGTGAAATTTTCTTTTTACTTGAGGTTTCATGTCTGAAAGTAACAAGGAATAAAAAAAAATGATAAAAGTAGCTGGTCAAACATGTTGAAAAAATCGTTAGTGTCCGGTTTTGGAACATACAAAATGTCTTAATGGTTAGTGGTCGGACAAATTTGATTATCCTTAATTCGTTGTTGTAGTAAGTTTTTGCTGTCCGTCCACTGGATACGACTGAAAATGAATAGCGCTTTATATTATATGAAAAAAAGATAACCGGTATTTTAGTTCCTAAGCCAGAAAAAGATAAATATAGAAGGCCCTGATATTTCCAGTAGTCGGACGCTTGTCCGACCACTAGTGTTACCACCAAATTATATTTCAGTGTGCCGGCCATATAAATTTAACCTCAAAATATTTAAAAATGTGCTGTTTTACTATTTATTATGCAAATTTAGACCTTGTTAAATGTATCTAACATTTTCACATCCCCCTACCTAAAAGAGTATAAAATTAAACTTACCTTAAAAATCTTTCATACTAATCTTTAACAAACAAAAATCTGGAGGTCACAAACACAGGGTTACGTTGGCGCGCTTTTAACGTTTTCAAGATGACAACTGCATAAATGAAAATTGCGTACAGTCGTGTAAAAAGGTTGGTAGAATTGGATTTAAAAATTTTTAAGCCAATAGCAGTTGATATTTTAAAGTTTTTTCGGTTTAAAAACGAATTGTCCGACTACCGGCCGTGTCCGGCTTACTGGCACATTCACCCTATGCGAATATTTAAGGGTGCGAATCTACAGGAAAAATTAATTAAATTTTGCTTTATAAACTGTAGACCAAAAATGTTCGTAACGAAAATACACGGGATGCGCTAATAAAGTTTAAATTTGGGAACCACTCGAGATATTTTGATGATTTATTAGATGCAATGACAGTTAATAAAGGTGCATATTTTTCAATACAAAAATAATTTTCAGCTTTAACAGTGGCGTGCGTGCGGACACTGACTGCTTAGATATTTAATTTTGAAGAAAAAATGGTATGCCAAAATGGTTTTATCAAAAATAAAAATTGTAGATCAATATTTTTTACATTCTTTAATGCATTTGACATTTAACAAAACATTTCTATTATTTATTGTACCTACTCAATAATTTTAAATTGATAAAGCACATATCGAAATTTCTAAAATTACCCATTTTCAAAACTCTCGGTAAACTTTCCAGGTAACTTCTTAATAAATGACTGTACTATAATGACAAATATTTTTATTTCATGCTGTTAAATTATTTTAATGCAATACACATAAAATGTATATATGATCTGTGGCAAATGGATCTAATCACCAAAGCCAAAACCTCAAGGAAAAATAAAACATTAAATTTATAAAGTTAACCAACCAAAATATACCAGATTCATAATCTCAGTACATTTAATTTAGCTTAAGATTTCATTAAAATAAATGAGTTTGGGATAAACGTGTATAAGTTTAATCCCTATATGGAAAGGCGGGTGTCTACAAGTATTAGAAATTAAAAATTTAAAAAAACCGACTTCAAAAACGTGCAGATGCCATCACCACATCTTAACCAAATTTATATGGGACCACCCCTGAGGTACCCCCTTACTATCAAAAAAAGAATCATATAAATAGGACAAGGTGGTAAAGCATTATCGCTAAACATACATAAAAAAATGAAGAGTTTGAGGATTTTCTTATGGGCTCAATTATTAGATTTTAAACAAATTTATATGGGATCACCCCTGAAGTACCCCCTTTCCAGCAAAAAAAGAATTATTTAAATCGGACACCATGTTAAAGAATTATCGCTGAACATACATAAAAAAAATATCGCGACGAATTGAGAACCTCCTCCTTTTTTGAAGTCTGTTAAAAATGTTGGAAACAGCGGTGTCTAATCTATAGTTAAAAAATTACATTAAGAATGGGACAAATAGAACAACTGAATAATCTCTAATTAAAAATAAGACGATTAAATTAAACATGCTTAGTTAAAATTTTACTCGTTTCCGAAATACAGGGATTAAAGTTTAAAAATTATTAATGACTATAATTTTTTTATTACTCAGTATAATTTTACTTAATACACGCAAACGTTTTTGGTGTCAAGATACAACTTTGCCAGTGGCGTACGGCATGCGGGTACACGTAATTAACACGTTCATCCCTTTTAAATTTTACGCCACTAGGTATACAAAAACTTATTTGGACTATATATGTGAATATCTCGAAAAACTAATTTATTCAAAAAACATACAAAAATTTAAAATTATAGTTCAAATAAATTTTTGGACAGTGGCGATAAAATGTCGAAGGGATAAAGAAGTTTATTAAACTGATTTTTATTTGCTGATAATAAGTGTATTTTGCGATACCAAAAACATTTGCTGAATTTAGGAAAATTATAGAGTAAGTAAAGGGGCAGCACGGGTTCTGGCACAATCCTTATGTAAATTAACATGGAAAATCGCTAAGGTTCATTCTAGCAATTTTTGTCTAAATCAAGGTCACGCGTCGAAGTTCGAAGTCTGGGTTATCAGTAAACATGATAACGTCGAAAATCCAAGATGGCGGTAATAGTTGACGTAAACAATGAAAAATAAGCAAAAAATTCAACCTACCCTCCTCCACCCCCACAACCCCCTCATGCTTATAAAATATGGTCGGTACATGCGATACCTCGTTGGAAAGGCCTTAACGTACAGAGTAAGGGAAAAATAATGAAAAAATGTCAACTGCTCCCTTTCATCCCCGCGAACCACCCCCTCATTGAAAATCGATCAATCATAGTGTGTGATACCTCGTTGGAAAGGTCTTAACGTACAGAGTAAGGGAAAAATAAGCAAAAAATTACACCTACCCTCCTTCACCCCC